AAATTTGTGGGTTTGGGAATGTATGGGGGAAGGATATCGTACAGTGAAACAGAATATTTGGGACAATTGAAAAAGATGTGGTCTGGAAAACCATCATCAAGCCCGCATTCACAAAGTGAGTTGTCCCTAATCCTAATTTTGGCTAAATGTACAGAAGTACTTGAGTGGCCCAGCCTTAGTCGACATAAAGTGGAGGTGCAAAATTTAGATGCTTCATTGTATTCAAAGAACCAAGGCTTCTTAGGAATAAAATTTTGAATGTCGGCGTGGATACAACTACTAAAGAAACACATGCCGAAGCCGCGTAAAACGACGACGTCACCATGACGTTCGCACAGCGCTGCCAACTGAACAAAAGAAACCGCCATGTGTTGAAATTGTGATTGTGATCGATCATCAATAATTTATAAATGGATTGACTTGATATACCTATTTGTCCTTTTTTTCCATCCCCTAAGCTATTTTCTGTTTTTATGCACTGACTCTGGCGATGATCGTTATGACTTATATATTATTCTTATAAAATTAAAACTGGCACAAGCCTAGTGGCTATAAAAGAAATGATAATAATTTATAAATGAATAAAGTTGTCTAAGCCTTAGCTATTTCTTTACGTAAGATAATTGTCCTTAACGTTATTTTTTGTTTGCTTATTTTATGAAAATCAACTTATTATACACGAATTAAGGTTACTAAACTGAAATGAAGTAGTTGTAGTATCTTTATAATTTTTTCCCTTTTTATTAAAAGGAAAAAAAATATTAAGATATATATTATATATAAATTATTAAGAGACCGGATGATTCAAAAACAATTTGTAGGTAAATAAAGCCAAAAGGTATGAATATGTAAATAAGCTCTAAAGAGGTGGCGCCTCCTTAACATGTAACAAGCAAAGGTTGATAAACATGTTCTAACCTTGAAGGTGATGTTATGTAAACAAGGTGCGCAGTAAATAAAATGAAATGTAATAACGGTTTATATTATTAAATTACAGAGTTATTTATAGCATTTTTTATCCTTATTAAAGCGCTCTCGTTGTATTTATATGTATATATTTTATAAATTCTTTAAAATTTTATAAATTCGGTCGAGACCATAGGAATCTAAATTTAGATTTCTGAGTTCGAAATAGATTTGTACACGTGGCGAATGATTAAAGAAACTACACACCTTGAAGAAGATATCGTCAAGATATTTTTATATTTCGCTTTGTATCATAATTTGAAATTACTTCTCGGACAGCAATGTTTCCTGCAAATATTATTCATTTACTCGGCAAAATATAATCAATCATTTTGCAATTCGTGATTCTGAAAACTGAACAGTTATTGTTCAAGAAATTAATAAATGCAGTTATTTTTGATGACGGCTGTACGCGTTTCGCGTTTTGCCCCTACTTAATCGAAACAGTGGCGAAAATAATATTCTTTTAAATTATTTTTAAAGACTGAGATCTGTAGGTAGATGAAAAAATTCAGCGGGTACTCAATTTTTTATCTTAATTTTTCAATAATAATATTTACAACGGTAATCACATCGACGTAAAAAATATTATGAGTAATCAAGTTCTCGTAGACATTTTATATTACAATTAAGAAAAATTAGGACATTAACGACAGAAAAGGAATTGTTTAATAAGATACTTTAGCTCTCCGCCAAAATAACTCTGCATTAGAGGTGCTCTCAGGGTTTATTTAGTAAAATAAGTAAATCAAGTTATCCTGAACACAAGACAGGACAAGGTATTCCTAAGTGACCGGATATATTATGTTTATAACTAGTATTAGTAAAAGAAATGCTACTCAGAAAATAGTATTAAATTTAGCTTTAAAATTTTACGCAGTGAACGGTCGTAGGTACATACATACATTTACAGCAAGTTTTAGCAAAATTTTGGTCGTCGCGTCGTTGTACTACATATACAACTGTATTTAAGTAGATTATTTTAAGAAGACTGAGATGCTAACATGAGGGCAACCGTTCCTGTAAGGTAATGTCGTTCTTTCTGATAAATAATACTCTACGATGTTCTATTATATTGTAATAGGGAATAAAATATTCAGTACCATCATCAACCAACTAATTACACAACATGTTTATCGTAACTGTAAGGGTGTCTTAAATCATAATACGGAAGTGGGAAGCTCATACCACTTGGCATGGTTTCAAACTTGCGATCATACGATGTTTATTTACTAATAGTAGACGTTCTTGTAAAGCGCATGGAGGTGTGGCCAACGTCGTCACTTAACGCAGTCGCTATTCGCGAGAGACACAAAAACATGTTTTGTTGTCTCTATAAAACTTGTCTACAACTTATTTTCTACTCAATGTAATTTCAGCCACCTAACTGTGATTACCTACACTCTAACACTAAACAAAGTTTACAAGTGTTTTGATATATATAATTGTGTGAAAGTGAAATAACGACTCAGGAATAGTTTGTTTTGTTTTGCTAATGGTGGTAGCACTGATCGTGCGATTTGACGTCACCCGTCCTGTCATTGATTTATTTATAAATAATTCAATTTATTTGCTAACGATTGTACGAGAATTTATTGAGCGTTCACTACTGAGATTTAAAGTAAATACGCCGCAATTGTTGATAAGAAACTCTAGATATTACGTGCATAATTTCTGAGATAATATATACGTTTCAACCTGTGTACGTGACTGTGTGATTTTGTTTTGAATTTGTGTCACTAGTGCTTAGTAAACCTATTTACAAGTGAATAATTTTTATTATAAATATACTTCAAACTTAGTTTGTTTAAAACACTTGAGTAAAAGTGCCGAAAATGTCGTCTCTAGGCTCCCAATGGAAAGTAATTAGACATTATCTTTCCATGACCAATTTGGGTCCAGAAGTAGAAAAATTACTGCAAAAAGTGAAGCCTGCTACTGCAGAACAATGGGACAGTAAGTACCTATGACTATTTATTATATAATAACTGAGAAAACATACTTATAACACCTGTCTCACATTTTTATGACACAGATCTCCACTTATTGTTGCCAAGCCTTATTACATCGTAGTTATAAAATAACGAAGTACTATAGTCCATTTGTTTAAGTACTTAATTAAATGTAAACAATCTTGATACATCTTTTTATTGAAGTATAATAGGGTGGATGCACCAGTAACAAACCATTTAAGAAAAATTTTCGGACATAATTTGATACCGTACCGGAGTTATTGCACCAAATCTTCTATAATAAATTACATTCTATTCCTTATTTACTGAGCAATCAAATAATGTGTACAGATTTTCTTAACAACAAATGCAGTAATTTATAAAAATAAAACAATGTCACGAGGCGGGATGTGCCTAAGGTTGACCAGCTTGTACTAGTAATTGACCATGCTTGTACCAGTGGTTGACCAGTCTAATAAAACAAATGCTTTTATTTTAAAGGAGCTATATTCCCTACAATTTGAACTTTTTATATTTTTAACATTTGTTTTGTACTTTACTTAACTATAAAATCACAACCTGGTGGTACAATAAAGTGTTATACACTCAGAACCTAAAAAACTTAAAACTTTATTAGAGATCTTGATGATGGGTTTCAAACCTAACACTACACTATTTAAAACTACCTACTTACTTTACAAATCAATAGGTATAAAAATTGGCTTGCAATTTCATATGAACTTTAGTATTTGTATTTGAAGGTAAGTAAAAATCATATTATAAATGTATGTCATGTACATGTCACTTCGACGTCTGGGGAATTTTTTACCCATTCCAACTACAATCAGTCTGGCACAGTCGCTCCTTTTGCCAATTCTAGACTATGCGGAAGCGGTTGCAGAACCTATGCATTAATTCATTTTTGAGTTGCATAAATTTGACCATGTTTCAGTTTTTCAATCCAAACTTGGATGGTTAGCCATTCGTTGTCGTAGGGACTTTCGCATTTTATCCCTTCTATACTCTGTTCTCTTTAATCCCACCTCTCCTCCCTACCTCAAAGATTGTTTCATGGAATCATAGCACTACACTCAGTCGCACCTTATGGTCTTCTCTTATTCTTTCTTTAAACTGTCCTATCTACTCTTCTTACTTTTATTCTAACTCCTTCAAGGTTAGAAGCATCAAACTGGAATTCCCTACCTGAATTAATCAGACGTGCTGTCTGTTGATTATTTCAAAACTTTACTCAAAGCTCATTATCTTGTATGTAAGTAATTATATGTAGGTATATATTTATAATAATATTTATACATATATATAAATATAATAAATAAATAAAATAAATCATTTATTGTCTCCACAATAATAATGATAATATATAATAATTATCATATAAAATTATATATTTTATATATTTATTATTTCTTATTTTATTATTAGTTATTATTATTTCGTTATTTATTTCATATTTTTATTATTACCATTTTCTCCTTCGTTTGTATATGTGCAACATGTGTACTCTGTTGCGCCCTCAAATAATTTTATCTCACCGGTTTTCCTGTAATCTGAAGGTAGCTTGGAAGAGATTGCTATTTAGCAATAAGGCCGCCTGTTGTACCTATATACCTGTTGTAATTTTTAGTTTAAGTTGTATTGTTATTATGTATTTGTCCATGTGCTATAAATAATATTTGTATTGTATTGTATGTATATTTCATTAAATAGACATCTCAAGATTGTTTACTTTTAAAAGTACTTGAACAAATGGACTATAAGTATATTCATATTATTCTCAAGTACATTTGTATATGCCAGTTACTTTCAAGCTAGTATTTGTTTTATAACATGTTCACAGTTTCCCATATAAAAGCCGAAATCAATCCCATAAGTCCACCAGAATTTGTCTGAAATAGTGTTGGGTTTTGTCTTTCACTTTCACATTATATATAAAATATCTAAATTATTTTGTTATTTGTGAAAATTACACCTCTTTTAACTAACTTCACTAGTTTAAAAAATCAGGGCCTTGATCTACAAATTTTACTTTATTTTATTTAAGTTATTTTTGGAAAACTTATAGCTAGGTAACAAGAATAGAATGGCAAATATAATACACACCTGACAGACCAGTGCATGTATGCTGAGGGCTAATCAAAAGTTTCCTCAGATAATTATTTACAATGATAGAAACTTGATATAAAAGAAATTGATGACTTGGAATAAAAATAAAAAGAAAAGTAAAAAAAAAGTGTAGTCATGGACTGTGAATGTGTTAAATAGTTAAAAAGTAAATATTTTTTGTATCAGCATGTAGGTGATAAATTATGAGCAATGATGTTGTTTTATCACGAATTGTAGGCCTCATTTAAGTCATTATACTGTAACAATGTTTAATAGGCTGAGTACTTCTCAAGAGCAATTACACTATGAAGATTCTAAATATAGATATTGTTATCTATGACTATAACTGTTATATTCTGTTTCTATTATGTAAAATCTTGTAATGCCATTCAAAATATGTAATTTAACCCATTCACGTACAGTAATTAAATAGTACTGCACACAACATGTCACTACTTTTCTTAGTGCTGTAGTGCTTACATTAACCCAATATAAAGTGTCAAATGTAAATTTTTTAAATTTTCCTGTTGAGGTCAATAATAAATTTAAATCATTGGAATGGCTTCTGGGCAAATAATCTCGATTGTCCCTTGAGACCTCAAACCTGTTTCGAGTTATGGATTACAACTGTGGGGATCAGCAAATATGTCAAACTTGGAGATATTACAGAGGTTCCAAAATGGTATGCTCAAAACTCTGGTAAATGCTCCATGGTTCACAATAATTGATGATACTCATGATTATCTGAAAAGCCCTACTGTCAAACAGTTGATAAGTAGCATAACAAAAGCCAATATAAAATGTCCAATGTAAATTTTGTCATTACTTTGTGGATACTTCTCTATGAAGATGTAGTAAGCGGCGACTATACAGAAAGCATTTGGAGACTGCACTGTAACGCTCATACTTAACTGCCTCTGTGGCCGAGCAGTTCCCATGCCGAACTGCCACGTAGAGGTCCCAGGTTCAATTCCCGTGCCGGGAGACATATTTGTATGGCCTACATTTATTTCTCTCGTGAGTTTGGGTGTAACTTGTGGTTGTCTATATGTGTGTCCATGGCACTCGCGACTCAGGTTTCCCTAGTGCGGGGCTATGTTGAGTGTGTGTGTTATTATTATTATTATTATTACTTGGTTTTTTGAGATCCAAATAACTAAACCGGGTACCCCATACTATATTATTCTCTTAATTTAAACAGTAAAAACAACTTAAACAGATAAGAAGATGTTCATCATGTATATTTTTTATTATTGGTTATAGACAAGCATTTGGCAACTTTAAAAAAGTAGAAATACAGATTTTATCACATACATACAATATAGGACAAATTTTTGAAATTTACGAAACTCTTAGAAATAAGATTTTTATCCTTATGTCATAAGGTCCAATATCTTAATAACATTACTGTAAATAATGATTGTTCTGATCAAGTGCAATTTTTTAAATTTTTGTTTGCATTTTTCAGTCATATTAGACACCAAAACCCCTTTAACTTTAGTGTCAAATTTAAAGACATTCTTTACAATAGGAAACCACTTAATTAAACAAAAATTGTGTATTGAGTGATTAACACACTTGAGCAAACAATGGATTTAGTGTTTTGCCTTTTACGACATGAATTATTTCTTGTTAGGTTGTTAAGAGAGAATTTTTGTGTCAAGAATTCATTCTAACTGCAATTTCCTATGTACAAATAAACATGACATGAATAAACAATTGTAAATAACATACAAACAATTGTAAACAATAAGTAAACATATGTGTTGTTGTTCTATGGAATTTCTATTTATATTTCTTTATGGTATTTCTTTTTGTATTTATTTCACTTTGAAATCTATTGAAAGACTTTGGCGGGTTCTCCAATCATATTCTATAAGATTTACCATTATTATTTAAAATTTAATGCATACATTTTTAAAAATATTTAGCAAATTCATTGACTTACAAATAAATGGATGACGAGTCTAATACAAAAACCACGAAAAAAATGTCCCAAGTCAACCTATTCGAAATTTAAATTGTTATGTCATCGCAGTATCGCGCTGTCCGTAGAACAAATGAAGACTAAAGCGGAGTGTCGCGCTCTGTATACGATTTTAGCGCCTTACAAGTGCGGACACTTTTTAGCGCGGACCCGACGTCCATATAATTGTAAGTCAATGAGCAAACTCTAAATTTTACAGAATGGAGATAATTTCTAAATTTGAAAATTAACATTGGTTTTTTTTCAGATTTAATAAGGAGATTTGAAAAAGCAGTCCAAATAAGGCTGGCACAACCACAAGTCACGAAAGAGAATGAAGCAAAAGAGACTCTAAAAGTAGACAGTCTCAAATCCAGTACCACTGACATAGATAGTACTACCAACATAGAAAATCAAAAAGAGAAAGAAAAACTCGACAAACCTGAAGAAAAAATCAGCCAGACAGGTTTAACAGTAGGATCGGAAGTAAAAGAGATTACGATCGAAGGTTTCCTTCAAGGATTGAAGTTGAAAAAGGATCTCCATTTTGGAAAGATTTCGGATCGAAGTTGGAAGTCTAATAAGCCTATTATAAGCAAGGTACCTATAATTTTTATACCCTATGTTTTTCTAACTCTAAGCAAAGGCTATCAAGCTATTAATTGAAGTGTTGTTATAGAATAACGTTTGTTCTTATAAATTCGACAACATGACTCGTTAACTGGACTGTACAGTCAGCAACACCAAGCTATATCCTTTGTTTGAATATCGCTTGTAGACCAACAGAACAAGATCTGTCCATGCTTAGTTTGATATACTGTCATCATCTGTACGATCAGCATTAAAATAAGCTGAGCTCTCAAACCTATCAAAAAGTCTGCAAATTTGCCAAAAACTCAACCTTACGTCTAAAGAAACCCAAACACACTTTTACGTCAGTAAAGACTAGTGAGACATATTTTGTGATATTTGTCAAATGTAAAAGATATTTTAGTAGGTTTGAGCATTCTGATATTTTTTGTTGGTGATTGTGCAATATTTTTATTAATAATTTTATTTGAAACTGACTTAAGAAAGAGGTTCACAATTATATTTTGCGTATACATTCTTTTTTAGTTGGAAATGTCCTATTCGAATTTGAAGAAAAAAAAATCCACCTCTAAGAGTGGCAAATTACCCATTCACCCACTTTCCGTTAACCAATTTCAATTAAACTTGGCAAATAGATGTAATTCCACAAACTTTTGAGGTCGGTATTTAATGTCAATATTCATTGACAAAAAATATCATATATCAATGTCTAGTTTTCAAAAAAATATGATTTTTAAACAGCATGAAAAAGGGAACATATTGCTAGTTTTCTTCAGAACAGAACTATGCCAACATCATGCCATAACATGCATAATTAATTGTCTCGTTTCGTAAGGTATTTCAGTAGGAACAAACAAATAATAACATCGACATATTTGGCTTAGCCAACCTTGTGAAAGTAATAATAATAATATTTCCGCGCAATACAATCACACCATATTTATTTTTATCTTAAGTATAAATAGAAACATCGCAGTCTGCATCATAACTACATATCGACTCATCCGTAGAACAAAGATCTATATGCAAGACTACTTGTTCTCAGGACATAGTACATTTCGTTCGTTCATCTTCGCTGTGGATGTCAGATCGACCGTTGCTCGATTTTATATTTTGGAAATGAAATAAGATATATAAATTCTCAAAACACCTTTACGTAGGCCTTAGTTTGAATAAGAAAATTATTCTCGTAACGAACTTATTATCTTTTAGTTATATAATCACATCGGACTCTGTTCTTCGGATGAGTGCTACGTTCTTTGGATAAAATCACTTACAGTTACACCTGATATGGTATTTTTGTACTCTGAAATTGTGGCTTTAGTACTTTAATGCTTGGCAAAAACCACTGCCAAAAAACTAGGCATTCATCACTTTTCATTAAACCGGGTTGTTTAACTTACATGTCTTATGTAAGTTAAATAACCCGTACCTGTAATAACCAGAGTAGTTTTATGAATCTTCGACATGGAAGAAAAGCGCAAAGTTACAATTTATTTAATACCAATTGGTTGTTCATTAGGTAACTCAAAACACTCCTCACAATACTTACGGACATAACTTACAGTATTGACAAATGTCGATTAAAATACTAAAATAGAATATGATATTTTGAATTCGACTAATGACTCAGAATAAACAGGATGTAACAAATTATATCTTCAAGATAATGTGTTAAAGTTGGAGAATTATCCCACTGAACTGAATTGACCCCTTGTATTTGTTATAGGAAAACATTTTAAAGCCTTCAGTATGTAGGAACTAGGTCATAAAACTTTTTTCGCATTTAAAGTTGTAACCAACATGCAAGCTATGGTATTAAAATGTAATCAACTCCTTTTATTAGCAGCTATAGAAATTAACATATCATTATGATTATGACAATTTCATTTTCCTTTATATTTAATTATTTATTTATTTCAATTAATAACTTCGACACCTCCAATGAACGTTACGCCATCTTAATTTTTTGGACTTGTTCTGTTTGTATTTTGTTTCTTTTTTTTCACTAAATTCGGAGAGCATGATATTACAAATAAATATGACTGTTTACATAAATAACAGAAAATGACCATAACATAAACATGGCGTCGTGTTAATTGGAGATATGTATTAAATAAAAAAAATAAAATTATTATACTATACAATAGATGTAGCAGTGCTTACAAAGTGATCGTCAGCTGTTTCTCGGCATTTATTTCCAGTCAATGACAGTGTCAGAATTACGATCTTAGCAGATCGTAGTCAAGAGTTTTAAAAAGCTAATTAGTTGGATTTCCACCTTAAAAGTGTATTATATAAAAGCCCCCAGAGTGGTGGGAGGTGGAATTTTACACTAGAGTACGCGAAACACATAGCTTGGAACATTCGTTTGAAATATCTTTTCGTCAGCTCACATAAAAGTCGCGTTCTTATCACTCCTGCTCTCAATTGGTAAATCTTAGCGTTTATTAGCACAAACGATAAAATATTGATAACGTATGTAAAATAAAATGTTTTAAGAATACACACACCTTTGCTTTCTTTTTTTGTTGGTACAGTCGGTATTAGAAGTGACTGAAAATTGGTTCTTAAAAGATTTTAAGGATCTCGTTTTCATATACAAATTACCCCAAAACTACAAACCAATTAACAGAATAATAAGGGAAATATTGTAACATATAGCAAATCTGCCGTCCGCTATCTAAAACGAGGCTAACAGACAAAATATTTTTTTTGTGATGTCATAAAAAACCATAACCCAGTTTTAGAATATTGAAATTGTTTAATGATATTTCAGCTATGCATCGTTAGGGAAAGTTCCGATATAGAGAGAGAGAGAGGTATAAGTTCCGATATAGAGAGAGAGAGAGAGAGGTATAAGTTCCGAACGCGTTAACTAATTTTAACTGTTTTTAAAAGAGAATTTTGTGCTCTATCTTTTTCTTTTTAAAATGGATATTAGACTATTCGTCACTCAGCCGCGTTTTAGTTAGTGAACGGCAGAAATGCAAAATATTGTGTAGATTTTTTTTACCAATCCATAAACTTCCTATTGTACAACATCCATGTTAGTCCGTATTAGTACATGTTGGTCCATGTTAATCCATGTTGCTCTAAACCGATCAACGGAAAATACTGCATGGCAAATGTAAAATGGAACCCTAGTCTACAACTAGTCCACTGAGTATGGAATGGGGTATTAAATCGCGCAACCCCATTAGAAAAATAATACAGTAAAAAACACTTGATAGGACCCAAACAGGTAAATCAAAACACCACCTAACCTTCGCGGTACTAGTTGTTGGCCAAGACAAAACGGATTGAAACCATCCAACAATGTACAACCTGTGCAAATAATCGCACCCTGATAGGTGGCGTCCGAACACACACCATGACCATGAGCAAAATGATGTCAATCAACAATTTGTATAATTCACCTTCCACATCCAATACAAAAATTTGATTATTGGACCGTGTTGTAAAAACGTACATATTACTTTTACCAGTAAAAAAGCGCTGACTTATAAGCATATTATGGGAGATAGTGATTTCCGCTATTGACTATACAAGTCAATGGTCTTATCTATCGTTAAACAATAATAGATAAGCGATGTCGGTCGTCGTCACTACAACAACACATGTTATGAAAACATGTTTTTGCGTTACAGGAGTCCAAATAGAATGATAGGAAGTTATCTGTCTAGATTAATTTTAATTACAAATAAATGAAGCCGACTACTTTTGTATTTAGCGCGTAAAGTAAACGGAAATCCCAGGACGTAGACTTCATGTAGAGTGGCCACATAAAGGTCGGACCCAACTTCTCATCAAATTAGACTACTCTTCAGGCCCATTATCTACCAAACGCGAAGTGGAGATTAATTAATTTGACATTGCTTCGTGGCTACTTAATCTGTTGGCTCGATAAATATCGGAGCTAAAGAGCACGTCGCTTCACCAAAATTAAAAAATAAAAGAGTCCAGGAAGTATTGCATTTTCCGTCTATGGTTGTATGTTAATAATTACGGAACTTCGGAGGCATGCATATGTCAAAAGTTAAATAAATGGTTGGACAGAGTATAATCAATATCACGAAATAATATTGGTTACTGAAGTACAGCTCTGCTTCGCTCTCCCCATCTCGATACCTCCAATGACCACTACGCCAACATTGTTTTTTTGGTCACTTCTGTTATTTTTGTAAACAGCCATATTTATTTACTAATATTATGCTCCCCGAATTTTGTGAAAAAAAAAGACCAGAAAACGAAATTCAAAAATAAAAACAAAAATACATTTTGTGAAAAAAAAACTAAAAACAAAATAAAAACAGAGCAGGTCCAAAAATTAAGTTGTAGTGTTCATTGGAGGTATCGATCTAATGTAGCAGCGCGGCAAAGGGGCCAATCTTACTGATACACGCTGTCACTCTGCTGTCAACTTTCTTGATACTAAATCTTTGTTATTTGTTTGTTCTATCACACGAGATAATCTTCTCGCAAATCGCGGCGATAGGGAAGTGACAAAGATGATTTCAACATTGCTCCATTCCCTTGCTACGCTCTACCTAGGAAGCGAGTAGCTTATACTGTCACGTTGTGGTCTAGATTAAAAATATATGCACCAAATTAAGATTAAGAATTCAAAATTCTTTCACCTGTAACAACTGGTGAAATTACAGGCACATGGGACTTGTCAAATTATGTCTCAGAGGGATGGGTGCAGTGGCAGTGCCCCTCAGATCTTTGCGATTTAAAGCTCTGAGTGGTACTGCAACTGTTTTGGACAGACGTGTAGCCTACCATCAAGCGCACGACTTGTTCGTCCTGTCACTTGATATTATTAAAAAAAACTGCAGTCTTTGAATAGCAGCTTTATGTCGCTCCCCTATAAGACGTTGGATAAGATCATTGCAATTACGACTTTCAAGGCCACTGCTGTAATCAGTCCTGCAGATTTTTCTGCCAGTTCCCTTGCTCAAGAAAGCGATTAGGACCTAGTAAACGCTATAGCTTTCCTATTTATGACATAGGTAAGTAGAGGGACTAGAAATAACCTCCCTTTTTAAATTCGAAAATACGTCACAAGAGCTCAGTGGTATGTGGCGTTCTATGATCAGATTATATTAAAATTTTATCGACATTCAGTACGTTGGGAGTTTACCTTTATCAACGAACACATATTGTTACATATTTTAACACCATGGATCATCTATGAAACTGTAGGGCTAGCGCGAGGGGGCGCGACTTGCGCGAGAGCGACATAAAGCGTGAGATTTCTATGAGAGAATAGCAGTATCTCGCACTTTATGTCGCTCTCGCGCAAGTCGTGCCCTGTCGTGCTAGCCCTACAGGAGAACTATAAATCGCTATATTGAAAATCGCAGTATTTTAGTGCCATTTTTCATACTTTATCGTAAAATCGTAAAGGTTAACTACTCACGCTTGTATGTTTTGCCCAAGGCTTATTTTTAGTGCCATTTGAAATTAATATCGTAAAATAAAGTATAATAACATAAAATTATTTTTATGTGGAGGGGTTCAGATGTTAAAAGGAGGCAGTGGACTTTGTTCCTTCCTTTCTGAACATTTTACCCATAAAAACAACAAATGTGTTTTGTAAAAATATTGGTGACACTCACCTTTAACTCCCGTGCCGGCGGCGGTTAGTAGATAACTCCTTGATTGCGACGAATTAATATTATAAATAATTACTGACATGTGGTTTTACATTCTAAAGCAGCGGTTTCGAAATTTCGTATAAATTTTTCGTCTCAGTGACCATCTCAATGACGTTTTTTTTCTTTTTGGGCATAGCCAAGCGCTAAAGGAGGTCGGAGAATGCCTCCCGACCTTTTCCCAAAAATACCTTTAATGGTATCATGGGCTCAAACATTATGTTATTTTAAGCCTTCGATTTTCAAAACGGCGATTGAAACTCCTATTGTTGTATGTAAATAAAATAAAAAGACATTTATTATTATTTTATTTATCCGTTTAATGCTCACCATATAATATAATATCTACTCGTAAGCCATTTTTTGTTAAAAATACAATTGATGTTCGCCCACCGTGGCGGCATCAGTACTATCCGCTACACAGGTTAAATCCTTTTGTGTGGATGTTGCCTGACTGGTCAGCAAACAATCACAATAACTAACTACTGTAATTATTCGCAATAGCTATCAATAAAAAATATTGTTATTATAAGCATATCTTTATCGCAGATGCCTTCATTCAATGAAGTAGTAATTTACATTCAAGAATTGTCATTGAAGAATCTATGGGAATTGCCGTTTCCGATTAAATTCAAGACTTTGCAGAAGACGGTCTTTATTATTTCTTTTTTTTTTTTATATTTCGTAATGTAGATCTTGTTGTTGAGGTAGGGTAATTTAGTTCAGTTAGTGTTGCAAAGATGTTTGTTGTTGTAATTAATGATTTGTTTTCTATTTTTTTATTTTAGCCCCATGCTGGGCGCCAAATTTAATCGTTTATTTAGTTGACAAATATGACTGGCTAACACCAAATATCTACGAGAAAGACATAACGTCAAGTTTTTAGGAAAAACTTTAATTATATCACATTCTTCTGAAAACAAATGTACTTAACGTAAAGTGGCGCCCTTCACGGGACTATCGTTTTATAGGAAAACATGTGGTTATTGATAACACTTAGCATAGAATAAATTTGTAGATGAAAAAACAGTATCTGGCAATTCCAATTAAACCAGTTGGCACGCCTTTCTAGATCAAGTAAATCCATGAACAAATCATAATTTTTATGTTTGTTACATTTTTTTCATTTTCGTATTGACAGACCTCGATCCACTCTCGCACCGCCTACGTGATATCAGCAATAGTAACGGCTGAGACTTCAGAGTGTTTGCTTAAAAGGACGGAGCATCTAATTGACCATTTAAGGCAGTACCCAGAAGCGAGAGATTACGCTATTAAGGTAACGTATAAACGTAACTTATATATTCCGATCCCCAATCGTAAGCCCAAATTCACTACGTTTTAGCACTTGCAGTGCCACTCAGAGCTTTAAATCGCAAAAATTTAAGGGCACAGCCGCTGCACCCATCACTTTGAGACATAAGTTGACAAGTCCCATGTACCTGTATTTTCACCAGCAGTAATATAATATTATAATGTAATATTACAGTTTGGCGTCAGAAATAGGTAAAGTGGTAGTACTTCCCCGGACGAAATCTTTCACAAGAACCTCTACTGCATCTATTATTTATTATATTATTATATATTATATTATATATTCTTTGTCATTTTTGCTGTTCCTCCGTTTTAACAAAATAAATGCAAGTAATTCGTCTTCGTCAGAATCCATCGCGTCACTGACTCCAAAGACGAAACATCACTGAAAATTTGAATCTAACCTTTACGAGCGTCTAATTAGAACCTTAACATAGATAAAAAGTTTAAAATAAAATAAGATTTTATCATTTGGCATCATTTATATTATAACATGTTCTTTTACAGGAAGGCGCAGTGAGAGCGCTATTACGAGTACAACACAGACTTACGAATGACGAAGAAACGCTCACGAAGGAAGTTAGCGGGATTGTTAAAGAGGTATGTATGTTTAAACTCATCGAGTATATAACCACACATAGAGACTAAATAAGGGCCATCCATCCCTGGCACCTCATCAGGCAAATGGGCCTTATATCACTTAAATATCAACTCTCGTTTGTGCTGAAATCAAATATTAGAAAGCTGAAATAATACAACACCAACAACTGACCTGTGTGTACGTCTCCGTATATCCCAAATATAATAATAATAACACACACACTCAGCATATTAATATTCTGTATGTATTGTAATAAAGATAATATCTCTAATAATGAGGGGCTCTATTCGGTGGTGTGGGAAAAACAGCAAAACATCTAATTACAAAACACGGATCTCATAGTTAATTAAATACGTAATTTTTAAATTTTTGTCCATTATAGCAAAGTTCAAGTTAAACTGGTCGATTTGAAGTGAAACAATTGACGACACCCGTCAATTGTTTCGAATTCGGGCTGGCCAATCGGAGCGCTGTTGTCACCGTATTGATTTGGCAGAAAAGTTTTCAAACAAATTAAATGACATTTCGTCTCTATTTCTGGTTATATACATGATGTTTAAACTAGATAAATATAGAGTACCAGTGTTAGGTTATCCAATTTTGCAACGGACAGGTGATTTGTCAGAAATAAACAGATCTGCCTAGGCAGAGCATAAACGTTAAGGAATGATGCACGTACAGTGTATACTCCCCTCTGAAATTTCTGAATTACTGTACTGTATTTTGTGCTGATATTCTTATGTATGTGACTAGACATTACTACGATAGAACAAGAGGTTTATTTTTTAATTGTAAGTAAAACCGTAACTATTTTATTACAAATACCTTTTTTTTAAGGATCTGAATCTCAATGTTATATTTTTTCAAACAAACCAACGTTTCTGGCATTTTATAGGTCCTATAGTCACGGCTGACAGCTAACAATGGGACCTGCCATGAGTTCGAAACGTTACTTTGAACTAAACTAACAAAATAAACTAAAAAACGCAATAAATTTTAACATCCGAAAATTTTTTTCACCCCAATATGTAGCAACCGGTTGGATTCGAATATTTGCCAGACCGGAACTAACCGCTCTCCTAACTGAGCCACGGAACGAATTACCCGATTTTGGGACTCAATATTTAGTATTAAGATTTATTTTATATTAATAGACATAGAAAAAAAACCAAATAATATTAGTTTATGTGTCTGTTACATAATGTAAGGCAATAAAATACGAATGTGGGTTCATGAAACTAGCCGACAGGCGAAAATAAGTTCTATAAGGAGAATTGGCCGCAAATAAAAACTTTTCTCACACATGTCACGCAACCGTAGTTTTTTTAATTCATAGACAAACTAGAGTCGGCCCCGACTATTATTTCGTTCGATATCAAGTAACGTGTGAAATTTGTCAAAATTGTTCTTGTTGACATTTCATTTCGAATAAAATTTGGTCTCGACTGATATTAGATTTAAGGTCGAATCAAATTGTTTTGTTTTTCAGAGATGTTCGAAATTTGAATGTATTAATAAAATCGAATCTGATGATATAGCAATACTAACATTTTCACAGATAAGAAATTTGTTCTAACAAGACAGTTTACGTAATTTGTGGTTTTTGAACACATTATAGAGAGTTTATGATATGTGTGTAGATAAAATATTATTGTCTTTCTTTATATGTCTGGCAAACGAATTCTGGCTCGAATCCAGTGGGATCGAAGGAATTTTATTTTATGTTTGTCAGATCCTTGTATCAATAATAAGTATGCTTGTGATTTTTTAAATATTACTTATGTTTTTTTACAGGCTCTCGCGCTTATGGGATATACGGCTCCAACAAAAGGTCCTGGGCCAAACATCCTGGCAATCGACGGCGGTGGCATAAGAGGCATAATTGCCATAGAGATTTTGAGACACCTAGAACGGCTCACTGGCAGAAGAGTGCAGGACATGTTCGACTATATTATCGGCGTCAGTACTGGAGCCATTATTGCTGCTGTCATTGGTGAGAATATCTCTTTATATCTCTTTTTCTATATATCCCTGTCATATTCGACTATATCGACGACATCCAGCTCTAGAGTTATAATTCATATACCATCATCATAATCATCAACCATCGAGTATATAACCAGAAATAGAGACGAAATGTCATTTAATCTGTTTGAAAACTATTCTGCCCTATCATTACTTTGACAACTGCGCTCCAATTGACTAGCTCGATTTCGAAACAATTGACTGGTGTCGTCAATTGTTTCACTTCAAATCGACCAGTTAATTTGAGCTTTGGTATAATGGATGAAAATTGCAAAATTACATATTTAATATATAATTACCGATGAAATTTGATTCCGTTTGTTTTGTAATTAGATGTTTTGCTGTTTTACCCCACACCACCGAATGGAACAGCACGCCATTGTTAAAGATATTGTCTTTATTACAATAAATACAGAATATTTTTGGAATATACTGAGACGTACACACAGGTCAGTTGTTGGCGCTGTACTATTTCAGCTATCAATTTATAATTTCAGTGCAAACGAGAGCTGATATTTATTATGTGACGTATCACTGATGAGATACCAGGAATGTATGGCCCGTATTTCGTCTCTATTTCTGGTTATGTATTCAATGTCATCAACCCATTTATCCCAACTGCTGAGCACAGATCTTTTGACTCTCTCACGGACTCTCCGAAGGTTGTGAATATTCTTCAACGTGCAGGTGTCATCACGATATTTTCCTTCACCGAAAAGCTCATGGTAAATTACAAATTATATATCGCACATAAATTCGGATGTGAGCCCGAATTGGATCCCACGGCTTCTACTTGAGATGAGGTTGGTGTGACCATGTGATGGTGCCACTCTCTACTCTACTTATCTTTTTGAATCGTTTACTAGCTATATTTATACAGTTTACATTTTAAAGATTATATTTGTACTAAATATTAAATATATAAATTGTAATAAATACCTATAAACTGGACTTTCAACGTTTGAATTGCTAAACTTACTAAGTAAGATGTATGGAGGCTGCGGAGGCTATAACTGTTATCCAGGCTACACTATTACAGTCTACAGAACGCCACCAGCACCACCAGCACCATCACACTTTAGGCTACCACAGCTTTTTTTATGGTAACACGGCTCTTACTGTTGCCATAAAGATGGTGGCATAATTACTGTTGCCATGAAGATTTTCAGAAACCAAGCCAAGGATCTATATCGCTTTAAGAGTCAGCAAATGGCTTTAGTTGATTCCGCATAATATTGAAAGTGTTGAATCAAACACTGGAAAAATATATATTAAAATTGAGGATATATTTTACAAGAAAAACCGCTGTATTCAATAGGTATTATACAATATACCAATGATTTATTTTTATATCAACTGAACTAAATAGACAATGTTTATCGTATACGTATAGTATACGATAAACATTGTTCAGTACGGATTTAATTTCGTTTGTAAAAATAAATGTGTTCCTGCCGCTCGAGCCAAGCAAAATGAACCGTATTTATATGGGAAAAGATCGATTTCGAGTCGTGGCAGTATCGACTCTTAAGTGGGAAATGTCCGTAAAACTTCAGAGTGTATTTCTATGACTCTAGTGAAAAGGGGTACAAGTCAAAAGCGCCAACTTTGCAAGGAGACGCGAAAAACAGTTAAAGTTAATAAGATATTAATTCGTGTTTCCTTGTAAATTTGGCTTTTTTTAACTTCTACCCTTTTTCACTAAAGCCACAGAGTTAAGGGGCTGATTTGGCTAAAGTTTAGTTTCCTATTAGGATCTTGGCTTTCGAATGATCGCCAAAACTAAGTCTTGATTTTAATCTGTCTATTATTTATTACAGGCAGTGGCGTGGGTAGCCTAGACACAGCGAACCAGATGTACCACACTTTATCGAAAAAAATGTTTGGCAATACGTCAGTTATTGGAGGTAAGTTTACTGATGTAAATTCCTTACTATAGCTAAGTCTATCACCACTCTTATTAACGCGGCATCAGCTTGGGGATTATAACACGAAGTGGTGGGACGAATAAGTCGTGCGCCTGGTGATAAGGGACACGCCTATCCATAACAGTTGCAGTGCCACTCAGTTTTAAATCGCGAAGATATTAGGGGCACTATCACTGCGCCTGTCACCCCGAGACATAAGTTGACAAGTCCCATGTGCCTGTAATTTCGCCAGCACCCTTGCCTTTCTAAACCAGAACACAGTAATGCTTACATTACTGCTTGGCGGCAGATATACTGGCGTGCACTAACTAAGACGCGGCTTGGTGACAAATAGTCAAACATCTGTTTTAAATAGCAAAAGATAGAGCACAAAATTATCTTTAAAACAGTTAAAATTAGTTAAAGTGTTCGACTCATCGGAACTTCCCCTAACGATGCATAGCTGAAATATTATTAAACAATTTTAATATTCTAAAACTGGGCTATAACTAGACTAGGGATAGCCGCGTTTTGGCGGGCGGCAGCATAGGTAAGGTGGCAGTACTTCCCTGGATGAACTCCAGTAAACATAAGTGATCTAAATTTACCACAATGGTAAACAATATTGTAAAATATCGACAACCTAAACATCATTACATGAACCGACAGCCACCCCTCCCCAACCCCAAACAATACACCAACAACGCGACCTAGAACCACAAATTATAATAATATAACCTGCCTGCCCTTACATTACTTGAAACCCACCTCAATCCGTAGAGAACTTCTTACAGCGAGACAAAACTAAATTCCTGCAGTGCCAACAACTGTTATGGACAGGCGTGTCGCTTAACACCAGGCCCACGACTTGTTAGTCTCGACACTTGGTATTATAAAAAAAATACCTATTTATTTGTATTTGGATTAAATTGAGGTCACGGAAATTAGGACAAGGTACCCAAAAAGGTGGCATATTTGTTTTTTTGTTTTCAGGAACGTCTAGATTAGTATGGACGCATTCATACTACGACACGGACGCGTGGGAAAAACTATTGCAGGAGAATTTAAGGGATTGCACCCTTGCTGAGTGCAATAGATACAACACGCCTAAGGTCAGTTTTGGTTCTGCATTCATACTGCATTCATATTCCAGTTATCATGTTAAGGTGAAGTGACACCCAAAAATCGGGTTTTCGACATTAAACAATACGATACTCGACTTTTTTTTATTTAATTGATATTGAAAACAGAAGACACCGGTACTGAGCTATGCGGCCTAAAGACACTACTGTAGCAAAGTAATCGGTAGTAACGATTTTATTTAAAAAAAACCAACCTTAAAAGTTCGAGGAATTACATGTATTTGCCATGTTTTATTGAAATCGGTTATCGGAAAGTGCGCGAAACCGGATTCATCCCCTAGATTGCCACCCTTAGAGGTGGAATATGTTCTTCAAATTTAAATGGGACCACTACTGAGATACCCTCTTTCCAACAAAAAAGAATCCTCGAAATCGATTCACAAATGGCGGAGCAATCGTGAAACATGCATAAAAAAAATTTCGACCGCCTCCATTGACTTACAAAAAATGGACGACGGGTCTAATACAAATACCACGAAAAAAATGTCCCAAGTCAACCTATTTAAACGTAGTGACATGTAAAGGAATATGAAAAAGCTAAAACGTTGAATTTAAATTGTAATGTCGTCGCAGTACTGTCTAATTTTGCTTGCTTCGCTGTCAGTCGAACAAACGAAGACTAAAGCGTGAATGACGCTCTGTATACGATTTTAACGTCCTATAAGTTCGGACACTTTTTAGCGCGGACCCGTCGTCCATATAATTGTAAGTCAATGACCGCCTCCTTTTTTTTGAAGTCGTTTAAAAATACCGTACAATATTTTCGAAATTTCAGAGGGTGGTATTATCCTTTCTTGATATTTATTTATCATCATCATCTTCAACCCATTTATACGTCCCACTGGTGGGTACGGATCTCCTTTCAGGCCAAAGTTTAGGTTACTTGATATTTTCAGCATTTTGAAACTTATTCAAGTAGTCGTAACTATGTTTAACCTACTGTATATTATGTTTTTATTTTAATAGCTCACAGTAATACAAGCTGAAAATAAAAAATATCTCTTAAATTGCGTCCTGAGGTTACCCCATACAAATTTAATTTTTTATTCCAGTTGGCGCTAGTATCGTGTGTTGTGAACACAGGCTCTCGTTTGACTCCGTTTTTATTCCGCTCATACGAATGCGGGTTCCGCGTCCGTTCTGTATTTCCGGGAACCTCAAGCGCGAGGGTGTGGGAAGCGGTGAGGGCGTCCGCCGCTGCGCCTACTTACTTCAACGAATTCAGACTTGATGGACTATTACATCAGGTAATGATATCACACACACTCATTGTCCCGCACTAGGGAAACCCTTGAAAATTGTAACAGTAGAGCTCCTTGTGAAAGAGTTTGTCCAGGGAAGTACTGCCACCTCACCTATTTCTGCCGCCAAGTACCAATGTAAGCATTACTGCGTTCCAGTTTTGAAGGGTGAGGGTACTGGTGAAGTTACACAATGCGCACATGGGACTTGTCAATTTATGTCTCAGGGTGATTAGCGCAGTTATAGGTAAGGGCTGGCTCATTGTTATCGAAGCGAGTGAAGCTTTCTTGACATGTGCTGAAATTGTAGGAACATAGTTTATGACGCTTTATTACTAAAGCCATGAAGTATGCCATTAAAAAAATTACATCGAAAAAAGGTGGTTGGAATTAATAGGCACATGGTTTTTAGAGGCACTTTATACTTTGCACCGGGGTGTAATAAAGTACTCTCAAATAATCTGCAAATTGACAGTTTTCAAGGAAGAGATTTAAGAATTTCACAAATCAAATTAGTCGGTAGCTTTTTGTGCTTACATGGGAGTTATTAAAAATCACGTAACAAACTACACATATGTTCGTAATATTTTTATGAATTTTATGTGGTGTCGGTGACGGTGTCGCCGTCTCTGAGGTCCTGGATTCGATCTCGGCAGGTTTCATATAGATAAACTAACTTTTGTATATTGTATCGGGTCTGGGATACAAGAAAAATTTAAAATAAGAAAGATGCTTCACTTCGGTAGAGAATACATGTAGATATTAGTATTTTTCATACAAAAGTTTCGCTTCCTACATTTACACATTTGTTTTTCTCTCTTAAGGACGGCGGTATAATGGTAAACAACCCAACTGGGGTAGGTTTACACGAAGCCAAATTACTATTCGGCCATGACGCAGTGAAGAACGGCACTATAGTGTCAGTCGGCACCGGGCAGGCGTTGAATAAACACTTGGATTACCAGCTGTTGGCCAAGGGATTGGCTAAGGACACCTCGGGGACTAGTTGGAAGGACAAGTTTAATAAGATTTTGGACTCGGCTACGGATACTGAAGGTGAATTGAATTTTAATTTATATTTTGTATGTACTAGAGATCTCACTTTAATATTTTTATTGAATGTCAGGTTGTTTCATCGCCATGGTGTTATAATTATTAAACAAATATTTAATACTTAGAAAAAATCACATCGATCCGGTTGGGTTCGAACCAACGTCTCCCAGCAAACCGTGCCATAAATGTACAGCAAAATACTATTTTATTCCTTAAAATTTACGATGCAAAATACAATACAAAAATTCTTTATTGTACACCTTAATGGAAAACAATTACAAAACAATTTAAAAAACAATACGCAGTGGTACAATTGTCTTATCGCTTTAAGCGATTTTTTTCGGATAACCATTGGATGGAAGGTAATTACATAACAGACAAGAAAAAGACTCTTTAGAATTTTGAGAGGAAAATAAACAAAAAGAGATAATAAATAAAATAACTGGAAATACTTGTTAAATTATTATATTTCATCATTTTGTTCTTGTCACTGATATAGTCCACTGTAATAGTGTACAAATTCTTCCAAAAAAAGGAAAATTAGGGAAAGTTATTCAAAATGAAATCTTATAAAGTCTTTATTATCAAGAAATAAATGAATCTCACATTGAAATGTTTTCCAGGTACGCATCTGATTCTGAACGACCTGCTTCCGCCCGGCAACTACTTCCGCTTCAATCCTCCTCTGATGCAGCAGTGCGCTATGGACGAAATCAATCCTGAGAAACTCAACAACCTCGTTACAGGTAGGATTGGACCTGGTGGACCTACGAAATTAATTTAAAATTAAAAAATCATATTTCGTGAAAGAAAATCAAACATTTAACGGCCTATAGAGACAGCAAAAATATTAACAAATGGTATATAACAAAGTATGGTCTGGTCGAGCAGTGTGTTTAATAAATAATCTTAATTTTAATATTTTTATTAGCGTTTACTTGGTCTGTCTATAGCTCAGTTATTAAGAGTCTATACAACCTTAAATCGCTTTGGTTGATTGACCGCATGACAGTGAGTGTTGAATCCATTTTTTTTTAATAAATAACGCACACACTCAACATAGCCCCGCACTAGGGAAACCCTGTGTCGCGGGTGCCATGGACACACAAATAGACAATCACAAACTACACCCAAACTTACGAGAGAAATAAATGTACGCCATACAAACATTTCTCCCGGCCCGGGAATCGAACCTGGGACCTCTGCGTGGCAGTCCGGCATGGTAACTGTTCGGCCACGGAGGCAGTTAAATTGACTTACATTGACTTACAATTATATGGACGTCGGGTCCGCGCTAAAAAGTGTCCGAACTTATGGGGCGTTAAAATCGTATACAGAGCGTCATTCACGCTTTAGTCTTCGTTTGTTCGACTGACAGCGAAGCAAGCAAAATCAGACAGTACTGTGATGACATTACAATTTAAATTCAACGTTTTAGCTTTTTCATATTCCTTTACATGTCACTACGTTTAAATAGGTTGACTTAGGACATTTTTTTCGTGGTTTTTGTATTAGACCCGTCGTCCATTTATTTGTAGGTCAATGGTTGAATCCATTACTTTGGAAAAAATATATAGTACAATTGAGGATATTATACACTGATTACTATACGGTGAGAACAGGATTCCTAAATTTTACAAGACAACTGTTGTATTCAATAGGTATTTTACGTATACCAATGTTTTTTTTATATCAACTAAACTAAATAGAATACATATACTCTATGATAACCATTTTGCAAATGGCTTTAATTTCGTTTGTAAAAAAGAAATTCTGAAATAAAGTCAGTGTCCCTGTCGAGACAAGCAAAATGAAGCGTATTAGTACAGGGAAAATATTAATTCGAGCTGAGGTAGTCTCGACTGTTAAGGGCGGTAGCCCAGGTGTAGCAACATACGCTGGTTCGAGTCCAGTCAGATTGGAGGACTTTTTTGTGTGTTGTTCGGTTTTTGCATAAATTATATATTTTTTTATTCTTTCAGACACAAACGCCTACATCCGCCGTAACCAACACAAATTCGAGCAAGCGGCAATTATGTTGACGCGCAAACGCGGCGTCGCTCAACGCGTCCTTGACTACGTACAACACCGCAGTCAGCTAATGGGCGTGGTTCTTAACAACTGACCGAGGGAAGAGCAGCGGGACTACGACACCTGCTGATCCGGCTGTGGAGCCTTAAAAGTGCAAAAGTGATGGTTAAATTGTGTATAAATCAAACAATTAGTAATTCACCGGCTACCAGGAGCGCATAACCGCGAAGACATGAAAACTAAAAGACTATACTAACGTTGAATGCCAATTGTATACGTGCGATTTTTAGTAATTTACAGTGCCACCAATTTATCTGTAGCTCTACCATAAATTTAGAGTCGATAGTCATTAGGGACCTAGTAAAATATTTGTGTGGAATATTTGTACGGAAACATTTAGTTTATCTGGTACAGCGAGTGCAATTTAACATAAAATATAGACAATATTTTACTCATTGATTAGCATCTACCAATACCGAAAAGTAGAAAGAAAGGAAATACATTTATTTGACTACCACAAATAAGAACACACACGAAAAAAAAGAAACGAAACAGAGGCAAAAAGTAAAGAGAGTACGAAATGGACTGTAAAAATTATATTGAGAATGACTTGTGTTGCCAAAGATTTTTAATGTTAACATTCACAAATTCATCCACTAAAATAAAAAAAAAGAGATGCCAGCTGACAATAAAAAAATACAATGAAAAGTAAAAATACTAAGGAGTTTGCTACATTTACTTCCATCACGTGAGATGGAGGTCAAATGTGCTTTTTATTTTATATCATAAAAAGACAATCAAAGCATTCGGCATGACTATAGTACTTTATGGGACTGTTACATAATGAAAGGCATTAAAATACGTCTCATTGCTTTATCTACACACATATTATAAGCTCTCCGTGATGTTTTCAGGAACCGCATGTTACGATTGGCTAAATGGTGGCAAATAAAAACTTTTCTCACGCATGTCACACAACCGTAGTTTTTATTTTTAATTCATAGACAAACTAGAACCGGCCCCAACTATCATATCGTTCGATATCAAGTAACATGTGAAATTGTCAAAATTGTTAGCTATTGACATTTCATTTCAAATAAAACTTCATCTCGACTGATACTAGAATTGAGGTCCAATCAAATTGTTTTGTTTTTCAGAGATGTTCGAAACTTGAATGTAATAGTAACATCGAATTCGATGTTATTAAGAAGTAATATGGAAGCAATAATAACATTTTCACAGATAAGAAATTTGTTCTAACAAAACAGTTTACCTTTATGCTGGTCATAATTTGCGGTTTTCGAACACACTATAGAGAGTTTGTGATATGTGTGTAGATAAAATAATTACAACACAAATAAACAATTACAAAATAATATTAAAACATGGAATAAAGACACTTTGTATGGTGCCAGCTGCGGTAACACAAATGCCACTAACCCAAGACATAATAAATAACGTTATCACGTGAAAAGCGTGTCAGTCGGAACTGTCCATTACTAAGACCGCATAGACAACGGCACCATATCACAGAAGTTGATGACTTTATAAGTACAATACCAGGCGTACATAGCAAACCAGGCATATAAAAAAATCTTTATTAAAAAGTAAACAATTCTTCTTCTTCAAGTGCCTCACCATTATTGAAGGTCGGCAGTCAGTTTTCTATATCTTTCTTTCTTAATTATCTGTCATGTCGCAGTACATGACACAAATAGGCAACCTCCCGCTGCTTGACAGGTGCGTACCAACTCCAACTTCTTCGCCATACGTTTAAGGACCTCGACATTCGCGACTTTGTCCGTCCAAAAAGTAAACAATACGAGAACTTAATGCGCTTAGTTACCCGGCAATCAGAGCTAAGTAAGACGTGCTAGTCGTATAACACCGCAGTCAACTGATAAGTGTAAGGGAGCCTTCATATTAGATACTTGTAGAAGTAGTGTAGTGGCGTGTCTGTGGTGCCACTACTAATTTTCATACAATATTTAGAAGCGCAGCTGCAGCGACACAGTCGCGCCACAAACGCGCCCCTTTTGCAGACTAGATATTGTCTGAAAATTAGTAGACTTGAACGTTTTGAACCTAATAAACGACAAGCTATGTAAAAGGGTTCAAAAATAAATTAATCGTCGATAATATATCTGTACCAAACAAATTTAACTTTTAGGTAGAACTAAATAAAATTATAACTAAAAAAACAGAAAATAAGCTTCCTGTGAGTTTACATGTAGAGCTTATTTTGAAAGTACCGATTATAATTAGATTTGATCTTGGTCTTTCTAGTGGTTTTAGTTTAAGTTAGTAATGACTTTGATATTATCGAAACTTTATAAAACTGGTGAATATAGTGCAGACCGTAGCCAAAATAATAAAAAAAACCATACATTAGAAGCTTTTATAATAATGATTGTTAATAAATAAATTATTAAGGTTTCATGTGTACAATTTTACATACTGTTTGTAAGTAAATAATATCGAATAATTACGCAATATATTGATTTCCATATCTTATTTTTTTAGGACTAATAAACTTATTATGTTACGCAAATTGAATTGTGTTAGAATTTAAATTTTGTTGGAATATTGTAAATGTTCAATGAACATAGCATTTTTATTGTTATTTTTAGGAATTAGTTTTTTTTTAATTGAGCTAAATGTTTCTATAACGATATTGTTATTACTTCTAGTCATTGTAGTTAGAGCTTAGATAAATATTTCACGGTAAATGCTATAAAGTGTGACATAACTTTTACTCGAAAAAAACTGATAAATAAAATAAAAAACAACCCTAAAAAACCCTTTCGCCGTATTGCGGAATTTTATGGAACTAAGTTCTTTTAGTAAGATCACATTAAATTTATTTATCGATTGGATTAAAATACAAGGACAAGAGCAAGTCATGCTTGACACTAGGATTTAAATATAATTAAAATTCTTCTAATTAAAAAATATTCTATTTCACTAGCCAGATAAAAAGTCACTATTTAGTCGGTTCTTGTCGTAAAAAACTAGAATTCTAAAATTTCGCGACTAGAACCAACTAATTCACGACTTTTTCTGGGCGCAATTATATTTAAACTAGGAGCTGTGGTTCTCGAGATTCAAAAATGGTGCCACCGGAATCTTATTCCAGCGTGGACAGTAAAATACCTTAATAACGACGACTACTTAACGACTAAATCTAGTTTTTTACAACAAGAACCAACTAAATCACGACTTTTTTTAGTGTAATCAAATCTAAGCTAGGTGTTGTGGATCTCGAGTTTGAGAAATGGTGCCGCTGGAATAAGCTTATTCCAGCGGACGGTAAAACACCCTTATAACTTTTTTTAATGGCGGACCGACTAAATCTAATTTTTTGCGACTAGAACCGACTAAATAGCGACTTTTTAACTGGCTAGTGAACTGTACAGTTGGTTGTTATTTTAAATAATTCCAACTGTTTTCTACTATACTTAACAAGCGGATAATTATGTTGGTTTTTGAAATTCATACTACAATTAGGAATTGTCAAATAAGTGCATTATCAAATGTAATAAACAATAAAATGGTAACAATAAAGTATAATAATGATATCAATAATTAAATGTGTCGAAAGTCCATATTTTAAATCATTAAACATGTCTTTCATTGTAAAAGTTAAGCAAGTCCAATAATAGCACTAACATCCCATAGATGTCATTACTAGTCTTAGAATAATAACGCATAGAATGATAGTTTCATATCAAAGGAACTGTCACAACTGAGGCAAAAATAAAATTCATGTAGGCTAGTTTTAGTAGTAGGTTAATTTTCGGTTTTAGTGAATATTTATATAAAAATACGTTGAAACGCGTTACTTCCTTGTGGAATGTGATGTTAGTATCTATTTTATGTTTGTCTGACGTATTTTTACACTCATTTACAGCACATTTGTTCATTTTTAGCTAAAATTCTTGATCTGTTCGCAGTGCAAGTTGACCTTGAGTACTGAAGGCCCGCCCGCTCGTGTAGGCCCATTGGGCGCGCTTCAATTTGCCTCACTTAGCCTGTGCGGACTAGGTTTCTATGCGTTATTATTCTAAGTTACTAGTTTACTCAGAGAACTAAAATTACTACACATTAATTTGCTAAAAAATTTATTACAATGACATAATTTACTTTTACAATGAACGACATAAATGTCAAAGTTTAGGAAAAAATCATTAATTAAGAAAGCTGTTTTTTTTAATTATATTTATTAAAATTATTAGTTAAATTTTCATTACGCAAATTGTTATTTACACGCCATTACATAATTATGTAGTTTTAATGATTCAAGTAGTCCTTATTACAATCATGAACATTGATACCAGACACCACCATGTTAGGGTTCAATAGTATCCTTGCAACCTTTACTTTCAAATGTTAAGGAAATAAGGCACCTTAAAATAAGTGTAATAATAATTTGAGGTTAAATTTGTTGTTGCAAAAAGTTTACTGTTAAGCTTATGGTTTACGAAGCCTGTTAGTGTACCTATTTGTATAGTAATTGTATTTTATGTAGATTTTTACAATTTTTTAGCTCGCTATTGTGATAAATAAAGTTATTATTAATGAATTTAAGATTTTTTTTAATTAATAATAATTTAGCTTAGCTCGCGTAGCCGTGGCTTCTATTCGTACTTCGGCTCACATCGCGAACTAAGCTAACGAACGATCCCGCTAAACTATGTAAACCCTTCAGCCACCCTTCACCCCCGCACGTATCCATAGTCTCTACTTACGTATTTTTAACCAACTTCATAAAAAGGAGGACGTTCTCAATTCGACTATTTTTTTGTATGTTACGCGACCGACCCGTGAGACAGGGTTTTCCGAAGAGACTACGGGCTCGACAGCAAGACCAGGGTACAGCGGGCGGCTAGGCCAAGCCCTCCGCCAGTGATACACCTTTGCGGGCGTCTCTGGCGGACCCGGACTTGGGTATGGACTCGCTGGGGTTTATGGTTAGCTGCAGAGACAGATATGTTTGTCTGCTCCGGTTGCACGTGTCCGGGGCGTCTGTCTCGTGACCAGCTAGCGCGTCTTAGTAGCGGTGTAGTTGAGGGCCTGTATGTGAGGACACGCGCGGGCCACGTGAGTTGCCCTTTAAGTTGGAAGCTATGTCCGGACATTGTCGTAGGACACTGCGACTGGCATCTCCGGCACTAGCCCGGAGAGCTAGTAGAGGATAAGCTAGATATCCTCCGGTCCCTCCAGTCGCTTAGGTTATTGGGAACTGGAGAGACGTCGTTTTTCGGCGTCGGGAAGTGAGCGTGTCTCACAGCTCCGCCACCAATGAGGATATTTGGTAGTGGACTCAGAGTCGACTGCAACTGCTAGTTGTGCAATGCGCAACGGGAAGTGAGCGTGTCTCAGCTCCGGTACCTATCTGAAAAATAGGGAGGGTACTGTACGTGCACCCTGCGTGGCTCACCCGAGGCACTAGCCTCTCGAAGAACCGGATGAAGTCAAGTGACAGAGGTCTGTGAGAACCCTGTACACTGGCTGATCTGGAGTCAAAACCTGAAATTGTAAGGTTCCTGTGCGCGCACAGGTAATAGTGCCCTACCTGCGTAACCAAGAGGTTGATAAGGAGGGGCACTATAAACAAAATTTATGTAGAATGATATGGGGCTGTATTTTTTTGGATGTTACGCGATAACTCTAAATAATTTGTTAACCGTTTTTGATGATTCTTTTTTGTTGGAAAGAGGGTACCTCAGTAGTACCATTTAAATTTGATCTCATCCCTCGCGGAGTCCGCGTTGTCGCCGCGCATCGACCGCGTGCGTCTAACTGTCATGGCAAAATACGCTCTATTTATTTAGCATTTACGTTTTAACTTAAATGAGCGTCCCGGCCACGTGGACGAGTCTGGCTTGAATTTGGTATACGCGCGGCAGCCCGCGCGGTATTATTATTCAGAGGAATTTAAATGTTGTTGCCTAGTAAATATTATTCAGATTCGCCATTAATATACGTTACATTAATATAATGAAGGCGTGGTAACTGGGCGGTCGCCGCGCGAAAACTTTCTCGTGTAACCGGGCGCTAAGGGTGGCAAACTAGGGGATGAATGACTTTTATGTCGATTTTTTTAGTAGGTACTCTGTACTGAGATTATATTAGTTTAACTTTGCATACAACTACGTGATCTAAGCTAAGCTAAGTTAGCTTTGTTCGCGGTGTGTCGTACGCTTTAAGGTTGAAACCCAATTTTGTCACCACGCATCAGCGCCACATACATATTAAACTTACGTTTTATGTCATCAATACGACAAGACCCATTATTCCAAAATTATTTATTTATAAGGCATTGGCTTCAGAGCCATCAGCTTAATGGTAACAAATAATCAAGAAACGCACAACGCTAAATAAAAATTAATTCGTGTAAAAAATTTAACTACTAAAACCCGCCATTTTCAATCATTCAATCAATACTATTGCAAAAGGCCTTAAAAATAATAAAAACATGACAAATCATCGAAAGAAAGACAGAACATGCAATAAGCGTAGGAGTGAAAGAGAGCCACAATGATTACGGTACACTTATGATACTTTCACTTCTCAGCTAATGGTTGTAGTGGGAATGCGTTGGTTTGATACTTTTGTGTATCAACAAAATAAAAAATAAGCGTCGAAAGAGTCTGCAAGGATTTTTTTTACATAAGAAGACTCCTAACTTGTCTCGGGCCAAAACAGTGGATAAATACTTCTAAAAGGACTCTTTTTTTAAGAGGAGAATCAGGCGCAACGGTGGAAAGTATGTGGAGTACTTTTATTTTGAAATTAAAGTAATGTAAAAAATATTCTAATTCTTACATTGTTGTGTGTTGTGGAACAAGATTCGTTAAATCTAGCTCAAAAACCAAACTGTATTTTAAATCAACGAAAATATTAAAACTGTTAATTCCGCATATGTACAAGTTTACAGAAATTGTACATTTATAATTACATATTTTTGAACTTGTAACCTTCTGGAGGTTTTTAGTTTTCTTTGTCACATGTAAGCAAAAACCTATGAACTTTATTGTGTTTATACTTTGAAAATTTTTACGTGACAAATTAGTTAACTAGGTAACGGGGGTCATTAAAATTCTTCGCGTGGTTTCCACCACCGTTCTCTAGTTTTGTAATCACTGCATCGTTGAATGCACGTACGCAAGGCTGTTGATTTTGTGCCTGTGCTTAAAGTTATACTTTATTAAAAGGATAAGTCATCAGTTTTTCGCGGGAAAACTTTTGTGTTATATACGGAAATGGAGTTTCTTAAATATTTTATATCGATGGTTAGTAACTTTATTGTTGAGTGTTGTGTAATCGTGTTGTGAAATAATGTGTTATGTGGTTTGTGTTCGGGGTTAAAGGATACGACCTTGTTGTTGCGCTTTCTATTTATGTACTGAAATTTACGACATATCTAACTTATATCATATTTGTTCATTTTCTGTACCTATAACGTAGTCACATGGTCTTGTACAATTATTCAATAAAGAATATGTCACGTGTAAACAAGTTTTGTCATAAAAATACAAATTAGACAAACTAACTTTTTGTTAGAAGGGTTGCAATGCAATGTTGTTTGAAATTTAAATTATTTAAAGTGCCATCTGTTAATTTGACAACGAACTACAATAGTTAATTATGATATTAATTGCTTCTGCTACTTGACAATAGATGGCAGTGTAATAGTAAAATTTATAAAATGTAAATACACTCAAACATTCAGGGCTGTATTCTAATTGTTTTTTTATTAATTTTAGTTCATGGTGGTGCTGTGCATCTTGATCACTGCTGAGTCTACAATTCCACAGCCAAGAGCACCTAACTTCCAGTACTTCGAGAGGTACGGATTATTATCGCACATCACTAGGCTAACTCTACTTTGAAATTCCCTTTAGAGTAAGTCCGTGCCTTGCATCCTAATGCGGTGGATTTCTGAAAATGGAGACTTATTAAAATGTACATTTTACACCATCGATAGCTATTTTAGAAACAGTAAGAGATTTATATCAATGCAAGTGCCAACATAAAAATATTAAAAAGGTTAAGAAATCTAATTCAAACCTCAAATAGAATATAGTGTGGTATGTGTAGTACGTTGTAGCGACACCGCCATATCGACTGGATAGGTAAAACGTCTAAAATATTTTTTTAAGGAAAAACATCATTATTCAAATTTTATTTGTTATACGGAAAACTAGAAAGGGACAGCTTTTCCAATTTTTTTTAAGAAAAAGAAATCATATTTTTTCTTAAAATAATCTCAGTACACAGTACTAAAAATACCCACCCGAAAGAATCATCAAAATTGGTTCAGAAATCATTTAGAGTTATCGCGTAACATACGTACAAAAAATACAGTCAAACAAAAAAGTGTGAACCTCTGCTTTTTTGAAGTGGGTAAATCACTGTAATATTTTTCAAATGCACTTTAGACGTGTTACCTTTCCAGCGTCGATATCGTAGTCAAATTGGTGTGTATGTTTAGGTCAAATTATAAGTAAACCGGTATTGTTTTCAGGCCAAAATACCGATATCCATACTACGACGAGAACGGCAAAGGCAAATTGCTTTACGGCTACGGTGGATCAGAATTGTTCCAGTATAAATCATACTCTCCCCTCGAGGGTATTTATTAGACGTTGTTTTGACTACCTAGTGACAAATATTATATGGTAATTATTAGGTAAAATACAGGCTGATAATTATCTTTTTAACAGTTGATGACGTAAATTTACTTTTGTTTACATCTTTGTTCGTGTTGTCTGTAGAAATTGTATGTTAGCCAGTCCATCTTGACTCTCCTGATCATGTATCTTTTACCGTCCGGTCCCTAATTTTTTTTTCCATTCGTTAAAAATCATTATAACAATTTAGGCAATATGGCCATTTCTTCAAATTAGTTTAGTGGTTGAGAGTGTTCAAAAATTCATTATTATTAATCCTGTTAAGTTACTTTACAGAGCTACTTAATACAGTATTGTAAACTTAATTTGTCAGTCTTAATTTCGAAAGAATATCTTCTGAGTAAAAGAATAACTATATTTTTTTTTACAAAGTATACCTAAGTGTTTTGCCTTGTATTGATGTGTAATGTACTTTCTTACCTCTGTATATAATTAAGAATATGTACCTACGGAACACTTCCAATTACAAATAAAAAGAAATCTTACTTTTTTAAATTTTTTCTACTAATTTGTCAAAGTGAAGTGAAAATTGTAGATACGCCGTTCTAGTGATTTTAATAGGTTTATTCGGTGAAGTTACTTAATTTTATTTTGTACTGTATTATTTTTATAATAAAGGTGTTGTGTTAGACCGTGGTTTCATTGGCATATCGCAACGTTAATGATAGATTATTTATGCAAATTACTTAAATATTAGCAAAACTTTTTTGTTAGCAAATACATGAATTGAACATAATGTATTGTGTGGATACAGTTCGCATTACTACGAACCTTGGTGGTTTAAAATGCGACTACAAACATTATTGTGTATTACGTTTGAAAGGATATATAAATTTAAAAAAAATGTGAAACACAAGACTTAACTGCTAAAAAAATGTTAAAATTACTAAAAAAAAAAACCGATGCTATTGATTGCTATATAATATATAGATGGCGCAATGCTGCTTCCTGTAATGTGTAAATACATGTAGACTTAAAAATAAAAAGTTAACTCATTATCTGTACTTTTTTGTGTTGATATATAAGTTAAGCCACTGTTTTAACGCAAGTACGATATAATGCGTTTATTTTCAAATTAGAATCAGATTTAAATTTTTATTGAAGTGATATTCAATTATTTTTATGTGAAATTACTCCATTAGTTTGTTATAATTATTAATACAAAGATCGAACACTCAGAAAAAGTTCCTTCGATCCGGCCGGATTCGAACCGACATGTTCTAGCATAGCGTGACATACGCTATACCAACTACAATCAGATTACCATTTACTTTAAGTTTGACATTCACTTGTCATGCACCGTATACATTCTAAACGTGTGTTTTGAATGTACGAGGTGACGTGACGTGGTGATGATGCTTGACGAGAAATGGGGGCCGCCTTTGTCAGCATGCATTTAACGCTTCAAAGGCCCTCATTTTCAAATGAAACAAACAGCCTTTTAAAATTGTTTGTGAGAAACTTGGACAGAATAAGCATATATGCGCATCAAATTAAGGCCAATATTAGTAAACTAATTATTGCGCAGGTACCTGTACCTGTGGAGAGAACATCAAACTTCGCATTTAAATCGGGTTAAGTAGGTATTTTCTGACATGTAGGTGACATGATTTACTTAATTTCGGTCTTTTGATGAATCGATACTATTAGTAATCAAAATCGCCTCTATTACAACTTTCCAAACCGTGAGTTACTTAATTATTAAAATGTAGAATAAAATAATGTTCATTGCTACTTAAACAATCGAATTGGTACGGAAGTGTTTCTTTTGGAAAGTGTTTTTTTGCGCAATCAATATCGCGCTTTTTAATTTTGGAACTATCACAACGGCAAACAGCCTAGTACTGTCACATAGCTGTACTTTCTCATGCGAAAGAAACATTTGCAAGAACTATAGCAATACCACTATGACGAGATCAGCCGTAAGTTATAAGCATACTTATTATACTTAGTATTATATAATACTAAGTAGTCAAAGCTAAATTGTACAATAAGCTGTATTACGAAATGTCTAGCCACCTTACAAAACAGCGCTGTTTTAACCGACATAAAAAAAATGATGAGATACTCAATTCGACTGTTACTAATTACGCGATAATTTGTGAACCGATTTTGATGGTTCTTTTTTATCGGAAAGAGGGTACCTCAGAAGTGGCCCCATTTAAATTTGAAGAAAATATTCCACCTCTAAGGGTGGCAAACTAGGGGATGAATGACTTTTGAGGTCGGTTTTTTAGTACTCTGTACTGAGATTATAAAAAGTCAGATGTCGCAATAAAGTGCGATTTATTAATGAATTAAATCATTTCTTTATTTATTACGAGTGAAAACGAGGAAGATGATTTGGAAATAAATCATTATTAAACATATTTCATTCATAGCCATGCTATTGCAATAGTGTCGTAACTCAAAATTGTGGAATTGAGAAAGCGCGATTTGAAAATTAAAAAACTGAATATAACCTATATACTGTATTCTCGTTTATAAATGAATAATTAAGTGTTATGTATAAATAAAAATAACCACATTATTCGCAATAAGTCCATTCAGTATTTTTTAAAATTTTCTAATTGTGTTGTAATAGCAGTGCTGTATCGTAGTCACTTAACAAAATAGCGCTCTTTGGTAGTTATACAATATAGCATTATTAAACAATTTGGCTGCGACATAACCATAAGTTCCATCACAGAAATTCTCGGCTATCTGCAAAACCTTGAAATGCATTAGCTCTTCAAACAAATGGTTGTACTATTTGTCCTACTCATTATACACTAGGATACTGACCAATCTTATTTTGCACCTGATAAAATTTGGTTACTGCTGTTTTACTAAGAAGTTTTTTAGAGTTTCTGTAAAACATAACTTTGAAAAACTCTATAAAAGTCGGAAGAGTTCATTATTAAGTTATGTAACCAAAGAGAACTTTAACAAGGTTCAAATCAAATCCAATTGCGTGTTGAATGTACATATAGATCAGCAAAATAGCTTACGACGGAGTTTATACTAAAATCATAATCAGTGTATATTAATATAAGACTACTCAAGGAAATATTTCAATGAATCTCTCCCTCTCTTTCAATCGTTCGAAAAATAACAGAGATATCCTATTTTTTTTAAAATTTTGTTCATACAAAATGTTTGCTCTTAAGTAAATCATCAACTCAATTTCCTAACTACGATTTATTCTTACACAGCCTCTTGCGAAATAATCACGCGGCAGAATGTTTTTCAAAATTGCGTTTATAATGTTGGTAGCAGTGTTGTGTTGTGAATGTGTGTATATATATTCGAGTTTTTGGGCGCCATTATTCGATCGGAGAATATTGAATTACCGTGTTGATGCCAAATTTGATCCTGATGCAGGAAAAAATAATAAAGTCGAGTTTGAAAAGAATTACGGATATAGAGGGCAGAATTTAATAGCTGATCTTGGTAATGGAAAAGAGCCAAGTAAACACACAGAAGAGGTAGGTAGCTTAGAGTACGTTACGAAGTTTAGTTTGTAAATATTTATGTATCACTATTACTACAATAGGTAGGTATCTATTGATGACGATTACATATCCCAATAATTATAAAAAAAATATTCGTTCGTAATTTGGTTTTTGCAAAAAATGGCGGATTGTCTTTTATAGTTTTTATACGAATTAATTTTTAGTAAGTTTTTAATAAAGTCTATTAAGGTTTGAGTTTTATAATAATTTGTTATCTCTATGTATAGCTCTGCAACCATAAACAACGATCAGTTAATAAAATAGTATTCGTTCTTTTTTTAATTCTTAAAGTCAAGAGCACATTATAGTTGTCACCAAGTTTTGGGTTTTATAATAATTTGTTATCTTTTAAGCTGAATGCTTTGCAACCATAAACAACGGTCAGTTGATAAAATAGTATTCGTCCTTTTTTTTAATTCTTAAAGTCAAGAGCACATAAAGTTGTCACTTTAGGCCGCTCTTATCGCAAGCGGCATAAAGTTGAATTTAAATCGGACTTAACGACCTCTTGACCCTGTACAACGGTGTTGTGTAGACACTTAGTTATAGTCCCTACATTGTTGAAATACTATTTATATTACCACGTTACTAGATGATGTCACTTTAGGAATTATTCTTTATAACAATGGGATATTAATCCCATGGAAAAACTTTACGTCAGTGAATTTGAACAATATTAAAGAGAACATTTTCAATCATGCAGTCCTTTGTAATAAAACTATCGATGCGTAATGTAGTTAACGACACATGTTATTTGACTACCTCTGTAGTCCAGTGGTTTGCACACCGGTTTTCTTGGTGTCGCTATCTCCGAATTCCCGGGTTCGATCCGCGGCCGGGTCAATGCAGAAATAAATTTTTCTATAATATCTCGGGTTTGGGCGTTTATGATACCGTCGTTGTTTATGACTATAAATAATATAAAGTATAACAATACAAAGGTCGAACACCAAGAAAAAAATCCTTCAATAGTGCTGGATTCGACCCAGCGTCTTCCAGCAAATCGTGCCAGAGTACAGTGAATTATTTCTTAATTTTCTATCTTGGTATTAATAATTATAACAAACAAGCGAGTAATTTCACCAAAATAATTTAATATCATGGTGGTCAAACATGTGACATTCACTAACTTAAAAATGATATAATTTATTTAAGTATCTTGAGGATATTAATTATTAACTCATTAATGTAGTTTCAGGATCATAACTATGGCGATGTGAAAGTCTACTACACATATCCAGGAGCCTATGGAAATGAATTTCAGCAATAAAAATGTGAAAATGATATTATGGCCATGGTGTACAGTCAAGAGCACATCAAGCTTGACACTTTGTACTTTGGACCGTTCTTATCGTGAGCGGCATAGAGTTGGATTTATGTCTTAAGTGTAAAGCTTGACGTGCTCTTGACCCTGTACCATTTCATACGAATTCACTTTTTTAGTACATAGACGGCGATATTTGGATTAAATAAAAATGTATATTATAAAAAAGTATTGAATCTCGAAAATACATTATGTCGTACTAAATAAGAAGTATAAAACATAAATAATAATAATCTCAGTACAGAGTACTAAAAAAACCGACCTCAAAAGTACGTGGAATTACGTCTATTTGCTAAGTTTTATTGAAATATCCCCTAGTTCGCCACTATACAGGACTTGACATTGGAGATAATAAAAATCGGTTCTCACTATTCAAAGTATATCGAGAGAAAAACGCCTTGAATTGGAGAAATAGCAAAATCAACCATTAAAGTAATTGCTCCTAAATTAAAGTTAGGCGCTATTTATGAAAATGAATCTTCATGCGTGAACAGCCACCCTTCGAGGTGGATGATTTTTTCAAAATGAAATGGGACCACTATGGAAGTACCCCCTTTCCAACAAAAAGAGAATCATGAAAATCGGTTAACAAATACCGGAGTTATCGCGTAACATACATACCAAAAAAAAAACAATCGAATTGAGAACCTCCTCCTTTTTTGAAGTCGGTTAAAAAGAGATGCAACGCTATTTAAACAATCATAAGAGTTCAAAATTCAAAAATTCAAAATAATCTTTATTTCATAGGTAAGCATTATTACACTTGAAATCGTCACAATGGTTAAACTCTACCGCTCATTCGTAAGGCAGATTCCCCTGAGAAGAATGAGCAAGAAACTCTAGGGGTTGCTCTTTGTAAATAACATTTACAATATTTATTTTTTTATTTGAAACATCAGAGATCGAGACTACCTCCATGAGCTAAACGGGTTGCTACCACGGATTTTTGTCATCCAAGTACGCAGAAGTTGTATAATATGAGTTGTGAAAACAGTAAATTGTCATTGAAAAGACACATCCAAGGTTTCTCAATGGTAGACTTTTTTTGTTAGTTTGTAATAAATTATATACATCGCATTTCTTTGAATTTTTTTCTTGAAACTGAGTAACGTTTTAGCACTGACTTTTAGCATAAACCTACAATTCAAGAGGTCTGCTAATCTGCATACTACAGATTGTAACCGAAAAAGGTCAAAATTCCGTCTTATACCACTCGTTGGCGCTGATCAATAGCCTGGACGTAGTTTATATTATGTAAATGGTCGTGGATATCAATGAATTCCTCTTTAATATGAAATACAAGTAAGTTTTTTTCTTGTAATAGCGGAGAGAGTGTAAGTGGAGTAAGTGCGACATTTTTGTATGAGGTCGGGTATCTGTACTAGTACAGGTACCTACCCATACAATATTCTAGATTATATTATTAATGTTATGGGAAAAGGAATGTTTTAATATAGCTTTTCTCTAACATGCTCGGAAATGTTAGTCATTTATGGACCATGCGACTTCTTCTTAGCGAAGGCCTTTAAAGTAAGTATGAGAATCCATTACAGTCTTCTCTAAACTTTTCAATTTACCTTCTAACTAACAATGAACTATGGTAAACAGGCAAGAGAAAAACTCACACAGCCAACTGTCCGGTGTTCATAACTGCGAGAACTAAAAATACCTATCAGTATCGCTTACTTAAAATAAAAAGAAAATGGCGGTAACACTAAACTTATAGTGTTTCTTTTGTTTTGTCTTTTTTTGTATTTTGGTCGCGAAAATGAGCGCTAGTGAGAAGAGCGATAATGAAAATACAGTAATAGATACATATTCAAACACATCATTAGAAGTTCAGTACACTACTATTAATGTGCCTGGAAAAACAATAACATTTTCTTTTTGGCAATTGTATTGTGTAATTTTAATGTTAATTAATATTGTTTACTTTTTCTATTGTACATCTTTCTCTCTTTAGTCTTTTGTTATTTCCTGGCATTGTTTGAGAAATTGCATCGGCGGGAACGGGGATCGTTTGACTCGTACAAGGCCTCGCTGGCGGTCGTCCTTGTAACACATACTCGTCCAGTAATACCTTACTTCCTCTGCAAATAATTTCTGCAAATAATGTAGGTACTAATTAGTTATTTTAGTATACAAGGGCACTTTCATAAAAATATTGACATATGCAATTCATGTCTCATTCACTCCGCCTTTACTTTGAGTTTTTGTAGTTAGTTTTTTTTTACAAATTATGTTAGTTTAAGAGTTATCTATTACATTTCGAGTATCATAATTATTTGTTACCTGTTTAAGCCAATGCTTAATAAATAAGTATTATTAATTTTTGTGTCATATCTGTATTGAGAATTAAAACCCATATTGTCAGTGCTTTCATAACTAACCCGACCAAAATGCAATAAAATGTAAATAATCGCGTTTGTATGTTCAATATAATATTATATTTTTTTATAATTAACATTGACTTTAAATTTAGATTTTATTAAATCAACAACAACTTTGCTTGGAAATGCCCATGTACAGGTATTCCTTAATATATTATATAATATACTCCCACACACATAATTCGAGCTACCTCTAATTTTTGTCGTAAAGGGCAAGAATACAAAAATAAGTGTTATCATCGAACAAAAAGTTTGCCCCCGGTTTTGCAAATCCAAATTGCCAACAAGGACTTATGAAAGACACTTAGTAGTAGACGCTATGTAGATACTACATAGTTTAAAAATTGCATAATAGGTTTTGATCAACCAAACATTGTTTAAGCTTAGGGCACTTATCGAATTGTGTCTGGAAGTATCTATAAGTATAAGTACTACAATATAAGTATTTTAAAGAAATATCTTTAAAATGGAAGTAAAATTGAAATAAGCATTCTTAGTAAATAATGTAGACAAAGAACAACTTTTTACTTGTCAAAAAATATTATGATACATACTAACCAAAAAAAGTAAACAATATATGTATAAAAAAAAATCTTTTATTTACCTTAATTCTATTCTTAGTAAAACTAAAAATAATTACACATATCATATTCTCCGTTTTTGAGTACTTATGTAAAGAACATTATTCCCTCTAATGAAAGCGTCTCCATATTTGTTCTTCAGCTGTCCATTGACATATTCTTCAGTTTGTTCTAATGCTATATTCATGTAGCCATCTAGACAGGCAAGGACACCTGCAAAATTGAAGAAACACAAAACATAAGATATAAGAAATTAATAATGACCTTGGGACACTGGCAAAGTTAGTGCTGGATCCCAGTTTAAATTATTGTTTATGAAACAAACTTTTATAAAATGATACTGCATTTAGTGTTTTCGGGCAGTATTATTAGAGTTCGCTTTGCAACTTTGGTACTCATAGTAAAGGTCCCATCCAAACCATCACCCTCAACACATTTTATGTGTCCCACTGTTGAGCACGAGTCTCCTCTCGAGTGTGGGTTTAGGTCATAGTCCGCCACACTGGCCTATTAGCTTCTTGGGGAATTCACACATTTTCCGAAGGCTGTGAACCTTCTTTGACGTTTCATCATGTTGTTTTCCTACACTCACACGCTCATGGTAAATTTCAAATAATTTTTGCACATAAATTCCAGAAAACTCAACAGGTGTGTGTCTGGATTCGAACCCATGGCCTTTGCTTGAGAGGCAGTAGATTAAACCGTTAGTCTATCATAGCTTTTACCACCACATATACTATTCCAATTATTAATTGACACTGAATGGTTACTTTGACTAGTCCTTTGAAGGTCTAACTCTAAAAAACTGATCTAAGGTATTCAAAATTGTATTAAATAGGATTTTTTTTATGATTCCGAACAGTTGCATGCACTTGATGGTAAGCGACAAGCCTGTCCATAACAGTTGCAGTGTCACTCAGAGCTTTATAACACAAAGATCTGAGTGGCACTGCCACTGCGCCTGTCACCCTGAGACATAATTTGATAAGTCTGTTATTTAACCAGCATCCGTCAAAAACAGAATGCGGTAATGCTCACATTACCGCTTGTTGCCAGAAATAGGTCAGGTGGCAGTACTTCCCTGGATGAACTCTTTCACAAGGAACTCTACTGCTACAGTATAGATCTCGTGATGGAAATGGCAGCCATATGACATATCTTCAACTTCAACTTTTGTGTCTATGGCTCCGTCGTTTTGCGCGACGATTTTGCCAATGTCAGGTTGTGTTTGGACTCATAATTTTTTGTTTTGACAAAGTCTTCCATATAATGCATTTCAGTTATCGTTGAAATTAATTCTGCTGCCGTTAGTCGAAAGGGCGCTTGTGATAAATACTCAAAACCGAGAAAATAATGTATAAAGAAATGCAATTGAAAAATGTCTACCAACTTGCGAAAAATTCCACCTAGAAAAAAATTGTGACATATCGGCCTTTATTCACTGATCACGGTAGTACACATAATATTGTTTTCAATGTCATATGCGCCTTTTCAACTCACTAACAAAACAAGAAATTAACCCATTATGGACTGCAATACTGATTACAATAAATAAATTAAAATAAAATACAATGCAATAATAATAAACATTTCGAGGTTATATTTTCAAACTTGAATTTCGCTTAAACTCACTTTAGAGCTCTGTTCTATAAAATATTACAGGGAGAATAACAAACTTCTATCCTAGACTTTTTAGTTTTGCTTAAATTCAAGGCAGAGAAAAGAAACAAACAACTTACCTCGGTAATCTACACCACTGTTCAGCTTAACTACGACCGGACGTCCGTGAATTTGCTGAATGAAGGACGACAGAGCTTCTTTGCGACTCATTTTTGAAGATGATTTAGTTCAGTTATTTTAAATGTTTATGAAAGAAAGTATTTTTACTAAATTATAAGCCGCTAACTCACAATCACGTATTTTTAATAATCTGACAACAATTTGGCGTTAGTAACACGTTATTCAGCCTAGTGTTATGTATATCATAAAATCGTGACCGTCAGGATGGCTGGTCGCCTGTGGCATCTGGCACTGAGTGTATATTCAAGAATTGCTACAACTTTTCTAAATAATTGCTACCTAGGATATATTCTAAGGAATTTAAAAAAAATTTGTTCAGCCATTCTGACATCAGGATGGCTGGTCGCCTCTTTATTCAGCATGAAGGGAGCAGATTTTCCAGAAGTATGTATTACCAATAATTGCTACCTTTACAAATTAAAGGTATACGCTTCATATCTGCATTAATTAAAAAAATATAACCGAATGAAAATTTTGCAACGTCGATTACTATCTTCCAAAATCAGTCTTTTCTTTCGGTGGCTTTGCATTTCAAATTCAGGTTCAGTTGTGTAGTGAATAAAATACGGAATTAATACTAGTCAGCACCCTAGGTTAAAATAGAACATTTATTAGCGATATAATAACCATATTTTTAAGAAATTGGAAAACACCAGCCAGCTCTACAATCAATAACAAATATAAAGAATAGGCAAATAAAGTAGAATAATTAAATGACAAATTCCATTTTATTCACGAAATAAAAAAACAATCTTAATAATAAACTTAAGTTTAATTTATGTTCTCTCTTTAGCTTCCAGTGATGTCCAAATGTACCCAGTGTAATTGTTCAATTCATTGTCTATGAGTGGGTAAGGGCTATTACTAGCTTTGTAATAATCTGAGGGAGCATGCATTACAAACTCCATTACGTCCAATTTGCGAGGCAGGTCTTCTTCAGGTCCTGAAAACAGAATTCATGTCTTAAAAATATTCATTAACAAATGATCTACAACAGATAAACAAGGCAAAAAACAAAGACTCCCTAATAGGTGTTTTTGAAGGTAGACTTGTGCCTGATCGGTCCTTAGAGGGAGCGATCCTAGTTAGTTCCAGTCGGTCAACTGAACTAGGTCGGTCTTCTAGTTCATTTAGTTCATCTGGTTCCTTAGTTAGTTAGTTTGTCTTGTCTCTTACTCTCGATCTCCGTCCGACATCCATCCGAAATAATTACTGTCAAATAAGTAATATTCGACCAAATTAAAAGACAAGTGTCAAGTATGAAGCTTCATTCGCATCACGCGTCTTTTCATTTGGTCAAGTGTTGCTTATTTGTCAGTAATTGTTTCGGACGGATGTAGATTCGAGAGTAGACCCCACTGAACGAACGCCACAAACGAGTAATTTTATTCATATGAACTACTACGGACTTCTCGTATTATGAGGTCAATAGTCCACTGTATTAAATATTTAAAAATACAATTTGTATGGAATCGGTACTATTTGATTTTCATTCATATTTTACGTTTAAAGACTGTCATTCTAACTAAATAACCTTTTTTTTACAAAACAAACATTTTAGTTACAAGGGTGTATTTAAAATATTATATGACAATATTTAGGTACATACATACAACTATTTCATATGCTCGTACACGTAAGTTGATATTATACATACAGTTACCTACCACACCTACCAATATATATATATATATATATATATATATATATCTACATTATATATATATATATATATAATGTAGATACGTATTAGAGAAGACTCAGAACGAGCTGGCAACGTTCAATCGTGCATCCCACTCGAACTTGTACTAGAAGCAATGAAAGATCGCTATTTGTCCCGCTCGCACCGTTCCTACTGAATTAAAGACAGGTGAACTGTCAACGCAGAAAGTTCCTAGTTCGTAGTGAACTAAAAAGAACAATGAACTATTAAAACCGTACAAGACGAACTAGTTAATCTCGGTCAGTGTCTTTTATTTTATTTTATTTATTTATTTATTTCAGGCAACTAGGACCCATAGATACATACCTTACAAACTAACATACATATAATATAACAATAATATAATAAAACAATAACAGAAATATTAAATAAATACCTTACGGACTAATCATAAATACAATATAACATGATAATATACATATAACACTATTTATTTACACGTATGTACTTCGACGTGTGACGCAACGTGGGCGTCCGGTAGCCGTCCTCGGAAACATGACACCCTTCGGCCAAAAGTCTTCTCTCATGAAGGTCGACAGGTGATGAGTTGGTACTCGCACCACAAATGAATTAACATTCACATTGTGGCACGACTCCAACCGCTCGACCCTCAGGTTTGCGTTGGCTTTCACTCGCATGTACTCCACAATATCCGCAGACTTGGTGGAGTAATGAAGACGCGACACGTATAACAACGTCGTCGGTACCGCTGGACGCAATAAATGATTCGGGCCAGTCAGGGCGGTGCCACTAAGGTTTCGGCTGGTGTTCTTCTTTTTCTTTTCCACCTTCCGAAAGCCGTCCTCGTCGCACTGATCAACTCGTCTCGGTGGTACTGACGACGCAGCTCCAGATACGAGTTTCTTTTTCGGTTTTCCCTTCATTAAATAATATAATAGTTCGTAGTTCATGAACTATACAAGCCTATTTGAAGGTACTTGTTTAACTTCTTAAAACTGATGGTGGCTATGCCATGGGCAATAAAATTATACATAATATAGTACTTAGGGAGGTAAACACATTGTATACTTATAAAATGTACTAATCTATAAAATACAGAAATAAAAATTATGCCACGCATAAGTAAACAAAGACAATATTATGATACATAAAAATTTAAATAGTTAATATGAAATCATAGTATCACATTCCATTACCTACTTTATTTATATATTTTATTTAATAGGCAACACTAAACTAATATGAAATGCTAGGGTATCCCAATTGTAGTTTTTAATAAAATACTTGAGCATTGACTATAGTCAGGATTTGAGCAGACTTGAGTATGATTTCAAGCACTGGAAATAAGACCCTAACGGCAAGGACTTGAGTATGATTTCTAGTGCTTTGAATCATACTCAAGTCCTGACTTGAGCATTGAGTTGAGTTCTAGAATACTATATAATACTATATAGCAGTATTCCAGAACTCTACTCAGTGCTCAAGTCAGGACTTGAGCAGTCTTGAGTATGATTTCAAGCACTGGAACTACGACCGTAATGGCAGGGACTTGAGTATGATTTCGAGTGTTTTAAACCATACTCAAATCCTGACTTGAGCATTGAATAGAGTTCTAGAATACGACCCTAAATGTCTGATAATAAATGAGATAATCATTAAGTGTCTTTTTAAAAGTCTTTATAAAAATTTAATTACTTTTTATATTATTTAATTTCCTCAATTTATTTTTACTGTCCTTGGAATTTAAAATACGTTTCTATAACACTCATGTTATCAATAAATAAATCCCTTGTTGCAAAACATTGCACAAAATTGAAGTTAATACTATAGTGAAGACTATAGGTAAAATATAAAATTTCACTACTGCACACTATTATTAAATTACTTCTTTTACAACTATACTGTCTGATATTGTTACTATCTGTGAGTTATTTATTTTTCATAGTAGTTTGTATGGTTTTGGCTTGACTTGGAATTGGGATTTCACTGGAAATTCTTCCCATTTAATTCATGATATATGTTTATAAAAAAAGTTTTTTCAGAAAGTTCATCCTCTTACCAATAATATAAGTAGCAGGATCAAACCCCTTCTCTGGTGGTGGGCTGGCTTTTGTGGGCAACAACCAAGTGACAACAGCGCTTTTCTCGCAGTACTGGTCTGTGAGGAAACCTCGGATCTGTGCGTAGTATATGCCTCCGTCAATATCTATCATTGAGACTATGTCGCCCACTTGCATGTAATTACCCTGAAATTTAGTTATTTATTTAGGTTGAAAAATATGGGAAAAAGTTAAAAGTTGTGTTGTTGGAGATTACTTCACCAACAAAAGCTCTTAAATAAGAAGTCATTTGACTATAATGATATTGTCAGCGACAGTGCAATTACGCATAACAAGCATTGGATTATGAGTTTCCATTTCGGTGATCTATTGTTATCAGTCTGTAGAAGACAAGTTCCCTGTATATCTTTGGTTCCGGATTTCCCCATACTGTCCCAGTAGAAAAAAAAATTGTATACACTCGTAATTTGTTGTTTATGTTATGTTTACGCACTACCCGTATTACATATTTTTATGTGATAAAAGCACTTTTTATGTATGATCACCTGTGGTTGTATTACACCAAGGAGTACAAAGTGTCTTTTATATGGTATGAATACTTACTTTCTTTCGTTTGGCATACACCATCACATATATCGTCAAGACAGTGCAATTACGCGTAACTAGCATTTGATTGAGCCTCCATTTCGGTAATTTAGTCGCCAAATCAAGTCCGCGTAAATGTCGTGGCAACCAAATTAGCGTGATTTACGGGAATCTATTGTTATCAGTCCATAGACAACATAAATTAATGCTTACTGTTGCAAAAATGAAAGTCGTGGCCATTGAAATAACAAAGTAAGAATGGTAAAACCCTCTCCTGTTAAATTTGGTTTACTGCAGATATGCACCCTTTACCAATACTACATATGTGGATTTGCATTATAATACGATATGTAATTACAGTAAACTAAAAATTTAAAAAGAAATTTGACGAATATTTGTATTTTTAATATTGTCGTCTAAAGAGTGAAAACCTTGCGAACTCATTTTTACATAGTTTGTTCCATCTGATTTTTGTTGCAGGGCCATTCCAAAGTGACGGGTGGGACGTTTTGATTCCTTTTTTCTTGAACTTTATGTAATTTCTCCCTACCCATTGGTTAATTAGACTTAAAATGAAAATATCATGAACCTAGATATGCAATTCAATTGCGACAATTTATTTACATAAATTAGTGACATTGTTAATACTCGAAACTTATTCAATAAAATTTAAATAAAAATATGTATGTTTCATTGTGACGGGTGGGATTTGAAATTAGTATTTATTGAAACTTTAATAACTCCTCACCATATACCATACTTCCATGCAATCCACTTATCACTGTTTTAAAATTCATAAATTGTATTTTCTTCAATAGGAATAACGTTTTTTGAAAGACGCACAAATAACTGTGAAAATTGTTGTTAACATTACAAGAAAAAATGCTTCCCTATAGACGACAGCACTACGGCTGCGTTAATGAAGACTAAAAATACAATAATTGTACAATATCAATATGAATATCCGACAACTCTCATTTATTTCTAATGATTTGATTTATTAAGTGTATTCTAGTCATACAACCAAAACCAAATTGTGTAATTAATTTTTTTGGATCGCGGTGTTATTTTCACTGGAATGACCCTGAAGCAAAACTTAAAGAATTATTATGTTTAGTATATTTTATACTTCATTTTTACCTTCATCCTCAAAAATTACAGTACATACAAGATATTCACTCTAAGATGATGACATGTACATGCAGTATTTATTGGGAAAAAACTTTGTTATTATTAAAATGTTAAATATAAACCAGTCATGTGTCCTAGACACATACAGTGTCCCTGACAATATTGGTAAAAAAAAATATTTCAATAATTTCTTTATAAATTCTTATAAATTGTGAGATGAAAACAGCAGCTGTTTTCATCCCACAAGTTATAAGCATTATTGTGTGGTTCCAGGACACTACAGAATCTCTATGACAGGTTAATGTGAAATGTCCAAAAGTTATCCCACTAACCCTGTGATACAGTTGTAACTAATTTTTCTGTTAATGATTATACATAGTTTTAAGGTCCAGACCTGAGGAGATTTTAATTGCACCCTTAATTTTTTGTCGGCAATGCTCTAACTTTTAAAGAAAAGCATCACACTATATATTAAAACATAAATTGCAAAACATTTCCTTATAATTAGGAATAAATCACTAAATAAAAAAAACTGAAAATTACCTTATAAAAAATTGAATCACTAGTGACAACAGTAGCTGTAGCAGTGGGAGCCTTCAGGGGCTGTCTCTTAAAGATACTCCTACGGCCTCTGCCTCGTGGTGCAGGAGGTTTGTTAGGCGTGGGAGCTGGAGTCTTAGACTTATATCTAGTCGCTCTTGTACTCTTCCTAGTGCCTTTTCCAGTCGCTTTAGCAGGCGTAGACTCATTATCTCTGTCATTTTTACCCTCTAAATCATCTCTATCATCGTCTTTTTCAACTTTTATAGCTGTGAGCTCAATTTTAACTTCCTTAGTAACATTATTCGCTATGTGACATTCGTTGCAAATTTGACCGTTTTCAGCATTACGCCATAGTAAGGAATCGTTCGTACTGCATTGAACACACGTTGGATTAGGCATTTTTACTGTATTTGTCGAGTTTTTCAGTGAATTTAATTTAAAAACAAAGATAAATAATAAATACAGGACGCAATAATGACAGTGGAATTCCGTTTTAGGTAGCGAAAGTAGTAATAATTTTCACGTATTTAAAATAAAATTAATCTTACTTTCTAATATAAAAAAAGGTAAAAACTACATATTTCAATTCAGACAATAATAGTGGACGAACAAAATAAAATAAAGAAAGAACCATAACATTTGTGAAATTAAACAAATTGTGAAAAAATAAATAGGTATTAAAATTTCGTGAAAATTGGAACGTCATAAAACATTGACAGATTTTTTTTAGTCCGCCATCTGTCGTGGAATAGGCGTACTAATACAAGGAAGCACCATCTATCCATAAGTAGTCGGTTTACGTTCGTGAGTTAGTTTTGACGTGAATTAATTTTTAGTATATTTGTATGTTTTGAGTTTCTTATTCATTTGTTAGATACTTTTTTAAGCTGGTGGCTGTATAGTCAATCCTCAATAAAAAGAAATAATATTAAATACTCAAAATATAGTCACCATCTATAATCGAGTACAAATACAAAAAACGATTCAGTGCCATCTAGTGTTAAACATAAGAACAAAAACGTGTGGCGTTGAGAAATAAATTATGATTTTATCAGGTAACAACAAATTGTTGGTTAAACTCTGGAACTGCTGGTATCATTCATTTGAAACCGGGCAATTTGCATGGAATACGAGTTTCAGTGAGTTATGGCGCTTATCAGATATGCTCTGGCTCCATGTTTGCTTTGCAATGTTGATGGTCGCGAAAATCAAGTTTAATTTATGACGTTCAAACTATTCGTTGCATTAATTCAGCCTCTGAATTAATATGCAAGCTGGTATCTCGTTTCGTATGTGTAAAACTGCATATTTTAATTTTAATTTATGAGGCTTTAAACGCTTTTAGATTGATTGCAAATGTTGTTACCTAGTTGCTTTAGTTACAAATTGCCCATTTAAGGGAGCTAAGTCTATAATACGAAATGAGCTAGACGGTAATAAACTGCAACGGGCGCGAAATAGGTCAAATAAACTGTTAATTCTAAGGTCAAGAAAAACACTGCTCGGACCAATTTCTTTCATTCCTGTATTTATTACACATCATAAATACTATTTTAATTTTGTAATGTTAATAGTATTTTTTTTTCTGCCTCCGTGGCCTAACGGTTACCATGCCGGACTGCCACGCAGAGGTCCCAGGTTCGATTCCCGGGTCGGGAGAAATAGTTGTATGGCCTACAATTATTTCTCTCGTGAGTTTGGATGTAATTTGTGGTTTTCTACGCGACACAGGGTTTCCCTAGTGCGGGACTATGTTGAGTGTGTACGTTATTTATTTATTGTTATCAAGTGACGGGACGAACAAGTTGTGCGCCTGATGGTTAGCTACATGCCTCTCTATAACAGTTGCAGTGCCACTCAGAGCATTAAGCCGTAAAGATCTGAGGTGCACAGCCATTGCGCCCGTCACCCTGAGACATAAGATGACAAGTCCCATGCGCGTGTAATTTCATCAGCACCCTTATCCTTCAAAACCGGAACACAGTAATGCTGACATTATTGCTTGGAGGCAGAAATAGGTAAAGTGACAAGTTCCTAGGACGAACTCTTTCACAATGAGCTCGGTGGCACTGCACCTGTTATGGACAGGCGTGTAGCTTACCATCAGGCGCACGACTTGTTCGTCCCGTCACTTGATAGTATATAAAAAAAGCTTATTTTTTAGCTTTTTTTTGCTAACACTAACACAGGTTTGTTTTTAATATTTTTGAAAAGCTTATATTTTTGCACCATTTTCTTTTCATTCGTCAGTCGACTTTACATAACATAATCTCAAAAAGAAATTGTTGCTTAAATCAACTTTCCCTATGTAAAAAAATATAAAAACAGTATAATTAGAAACTATATGGAAATACAAATGAAACCCAGTATCTTTTTTTTTTTAATTTATTTATTGTATAAAGGACAAAATACACAAATATGTTTCTAATCGCATTTTAAACCACTAAGGTTTGTCATAATGCGACCTGTATCTACACAATACAAATTTGAACATGCTAGCAGAAGCTTATATTTAAGTGTAAATATTTAAGTAATTTGTATAAATAATCTATAATATATATGTTACTAAAATTAATAGGATTGGGTAAATACATTCATCTTATTATATTAAATGTTCATCACATTTAAAATCTGCGATTGATTGTCGTTAATTTTTTTACCTGGTCTAGGACTGTGTCGAACTTGGGCATTATTCTTTGTTGAACACTTTGATCTACTCAAAATTTAATAGATAGTAAGGGATAAACATTGACTTACAAATAAATGGACGACGGGTCTAATACAAAAACCACGAAAAAAATGTCCCAAGTCAACCTATTCGAAATTTAAATTGTTATGTCATCGCAGTATCGCGCTGTCCGTAGAACAAATGAAGACTAAAGCGGAGTGTCGCGCTCTGTATACGATTTTAGCGCCTTACAAGTGCGGACACTTTTTTGCGCGGACCCGACGTCCATATAATTGTAAGTCAATGGGGATAAACAACAAAATTTCAAAACAATTGAAAAATCCTTTTTACAGCTTTTCTTAAAATGCTGTGTTTCATATTACAGTGTTTTGGTTTTGATACAGACTTCTCGTATTACTTCTCGAATTATTCGAAAGTACTCTGTGATGGTGACTCGCTACCCTATCAAATCAATAAGACACTGGAACACCAAATTCGGAAATAGTTGCAAAAAAGATTTTTTTCGTTTGTACATTAGATATTAAATGATTCTATCCCTTTGCAAAATAAACTAAGTATTGAAAAACGACTAAATTTATTTTTGCTTGATAATAGCCTAAATATTCTTGTTGTAATGAGATTACGGTGCCGCTGTTATAAGGAAGGCGACGGGAAAACGTTGTTTTGAACTCTCTGTTTGAAAAGACCTTATGCCCCACAGCAGACAACCTATATTATGTTCGTATACTTGTATAAATTGTTATACAATTATGTTATTAAGCAGTTAAAAACAATTTTGTTTAAAATATTCCATTTGCACAAGACTGTTAAACTCTGGCCAATTAAAAGTTTTAAAACGTCACATGTGACTTTGTAAGGCGTAAAGCTCTTGCTTTGAGTAACTTTTAATGAGTGAAATGCGAAAAGAACTTTTAACAGGCTGCCTTTAGCTACAGTCAGACGTATTACCAAGCTGAACTGACAACAACGCCATACAAAATGTCTCTTGAATACAGGCATTTGTTACTATGTTCCCTATTTTTTACCGACTTCAAAAAAGGATATTCTCAATTTGACTGTATTTTTTGTGTGTATATTACGCGACTGCTCTGACATTTGTGAACTGATTTCGATGATTCTTTGTATGTTGGAGAGTACCTTAGTAGTGGTTCCATTGAAATTTGAAGAAAACCCCCTGATACGAATCGAACGTTGTACGCCATTGACTTACAAATAAATGGACGACGGGTCTAATACAAAAACCACGAAAAAAATGTCCCAAGTCAACCTATTCGAAATTTAAATTGTAATGTCATCGCAGTATCGCGCTGTCAGTAGAACAAATGAAGACTAAAGCGGAATTTGGCGCTCTGTATACGATTTTAGCGCCTTACAAGTGCGGACACTTTTTAGCGCGGACCCGACGTCCATATAATTGTAAGTCAATGGCGTACAACGTTCGATTCGTATCAGGGGGTCTACTCTCAAACTCCGTCCGACATCCGTCCGAAACAATTACTGTCAAATAAGTAATATTCGACCAAATTAAAAGACAAGTATCAAGTATGAAGCTTCGTTCGCATCACGCGTCTTTTCATTTGGTCAAGTATTGCTTATTTGGCAGTAATTGTTTCGGACGGATATCGAGAGTAGACCCCCAGTTCCGAATCCGAGAAATGACGATCCGAAATGTCACAGGGATCATTATCTCATTATCTCTACCAGCTCGACTTGGTCGTCCCGTCAAAGTCAAATAATCATTCAATAAAAACGTCACTTTTAAGCTACTGCTCGTTCACTACGCTGACTTCCCTGAGAAGAACGAGCAAGAAACTGTAGAGATTACTTTTTTCAAATAAACTTAAACGCTTAACGGATTATTACATCAGGTAATAATAATAATAATAATATTAATTTTTTAGGCCTTGGGAGAGGCGTGAGTTTAAAATAAATACGAAAATAATAATAATAACGTACACACTCATAGTCCCGCACTAGGGAAACCCTTGAAAATTGTAGCAGTAGAGCTCCTTGTGAAAAAGTTCGTCCAGGAATGTACTGCCTCCTTGCCTATTTCCGCCGCCAAGCATCGTAGTAGTGCGAGCATTATTGACTTCCGGTTTTAAAGGTGCTGGCGAAGTTACAAGCACATGGGACTTGTCAACTTATGTCTCAGCGTGACAGATGTTTGCGATTTAAAGCTTTGAGTAATAATAATAATAACGCACACACTCAACATAGCGCCACAATAGGGAAACCCTGTGTCGCGGGTGCCATTGACACACACATAGACGACCACAAATTACACCCCAAGTCACGAGGAAAATAAATGTAAATTAATGAATCGAACCTGGGACCTCTGCGTGGCAGTCCGCCATGGTAACCGTTCGGCCGCGGAGAGAGTTCTGTCGCTTACCACCAGGCGCACGACTTGTTCGTTCCGGCACTCGGTATCATAAAAAAGTATTGTGCAGACAGACAATTAACTAAGAATTTAAGATCCCAAAGTTTTTCTTTTAAAAAAAAAAGCAAAAGGTAATTGAATAGAAAATAAACAACTGTGAAGTGACAAAAGTTTTATTAAAAATCTGGACAAGGTGTTACAGTGAATAAGTTAAAACTTACTATCTAACTGGAATGTATATTTACTTATACAGTTTAATTATACAAAGCATATTTAGAATTAAATGAAAACTTAAACAATTTTTAAAGCCGTTGATTCTTAAATGCATAACGTATATAATTAATTTGTGCGTTAAATAGTTAGATTAAAACATTTAAACTGATCCAGTCAAGCGTCTTTTAACTAGTCTATTGTAGTTTACTATAATTTTTAACTGCGTTTTGTTTTTGTAATTTTAAGACGTCCACTGCTGCATGTGCTGAACATAGGTCTCCCTGAAAAAGTTCAAGAAATCCATCGGTTACCCGCCGCCCTTATCAGGTCTTCCGTCCATCTAGTAGGGGCCCGTCTTACTGAACGCCTTCCGGTTCGTGGTCTCCATTCAAGAACCTTTCTGCCCCAACGGCCGTCAGTTCTAGGAACTATGTGCCCTGCCCACTGCCACTTCAATTACCTAAACCTTTGAGCCATGTCGGTGACTGTCGTTCTTCTACGGATCTGCTAATTTCTGTTGAGGCCACGTAAGTGACCACGTGTCAGAGCCGTAGGTCATCGCTGGCAACACGCACTACTCGAAGACTTATGTCTTCAAGGACTGCGGAAATGCGCAAACTTCTTAAACAGAACCTCAAACCTTTTTAACAGAATGCTTTATAGTATCATGTGTATGATTGAAGGTAATAAATGAAACATATCGAAAATACCAGGTGAAAAATTAATGAACGAATGAAAAACCTAATATATACGATGTTTGTAAACACTTTGAAGGTGTGTGAAGTTGCCAACCCGTAATGGGCCAGCTCAATGGACTATACCCTGAATACTTTCCTTGTAGAAGATCTGTGGCCATCAGATCAACGCGTGTTAGTAATACAGTACGTATGTTACCTGTTATGTTTTTGGATTCATTAGGGGTACAAAATACAATACAATTATTTCTTTCTCTATTTTAATAATTAAATTTTCATATGAAAATTCTAGTATGTCATTAGTGGCTGGTTTGCATTAGACATAACTGTTTGACGACTTTACCATATCAGTCAACCGTGACATGGGACCTGTAAAGTTGATTTGTTTAAAAAAACAAATATACGCGATTTAAATCCGGAAAAATAGTTTCATTTCCTAATTATGTTCAAATGGCAAATGTTTAAAGTAGTGTCATAAAAAATCGATTATCCGATATTAAGTAGGCAACTGTAATGTTGTTATATACTTTACACAGTAGGGAAAGCGTTTAAATCTAATTAATACTATTTACCTAAAATAAATAAAAACTTAATTACTTATGAGTGAACAGTAACTCATTCACATTCTGAATTTAAAAAATAATGGAGTATAATTAATATGGGTCACCTTAGGATTTTTTATTAAATTATAATTAAATACTTTCTATCTCTTGAATTTACAAAACTATTGTACAGTTATCGGATTACGTAGTAATACAACGAAAAATGTAAAAACATGGGTTTATTTTCATTCATTCATCCTTAAATTCATTCATTCATTCTACATTGATAATACATCATTTAGGTAAAGGTATTTAGTTGTTGTTTTAAGATTTTGTTGTTAATACTGTTCTTGTTTTTAACCGACTTTAAAAAAAGGGAGGAGGTTCTTAATTGGACTATTTTTGTGTGTGTACGTTACCCGATAACTCCGACAATTGTGAACCGATTTAATTGCTTCGTTTTTTGTTGGAAAGAGGGTACTTCAGTAGTGGCCCCATTTAAATTTGAAGAAAATATTCCACCTCTAAGGGTAGCAAATTAGGGGACGAATCTATTTTATTGGATTTCATCCGTTTTCCGTTAATTGATTTCAATAATTATAACTTTTTATTAAATAAAAACAACCTCAGAAGTTTACTTATCGGCTTCTTTATTGGAATCACATTAGAGGCACCCTTTTTCCAACAAAAAAAAAACATCAAAATCCGTTCACGAATGCCTGAATAATCGCATAACATACACACGACCTTAGAATAATAACGCATAGAATGATAGTTTCATATCAAACGAACTGTCACAAGTGAGGCAAAAACCAAATTCATGTAGGCTAGTTTTAGTAGTAGGTTAATTTTCGGTTTTAGTGAATATTTATATAAAAATACAAGTTGAAACGCGTTATTTCCTTGTGGAATGTGATGTTATTATCTATTTTTTGTTTGTCTGATGTATTTTTACACTCATTTACCGCACATTTCGTCATTTTTAGCTAAAATTCTTGAGCTGTTCGCGGTGCAAGTTGACCTTGAGCGCTGAAGGCCCGCCCGCTCGTGTAGGCCCATTGGGCGCGCTTCAATTTGCCTCACTTAGCGTGTGCGGGCTAGGTTTCTATGCGTTATTATTCTAAGCACACGACAAAAAATACAGACGAATTGAGAATCTCCTTTTTTTAAGTCGGTTAATAAAACTTGGCAAATAAGTGTAATTCCACAAACTTTTGACATTATTTTTTTTCAGCTTTAACCTGTCCATACGCTATTTATTCTCTTTTAATTGTGGATGTGTGACATTTTGCTCATATGTAACACTGAAATCAATCAAAGTAACCTTTAACAAATTAACACAAAAACCTTAATACAAGAAAAAATGCTCGCCAATATCCAAGTTATTGAGTAAATTACAAAGTTCCTCGGTAAATAACAAAGTCACAAATAACAGGTTAAATTAAGTTCACTTGCACACATGGACTTCCTGGACCTGTATACAGGTGTCACATGTGACGCGGCAGCACCAGTGGAACTTGCATCTGCACTTTGTTTCTTCCACATTTCGCACCGTGTTGTAGCCGCGACCACAGCAGAGGGTTTCGCAACCATCTTCACCTGCAAATTGGTACAATGTCACTAAGGGTCGTATTCCAGAACTCTACTCAATGCCCAAGTCAGGATTTGAGTATGGTTTAAAGCACTCGAAATCATACTCAAGTCCCTGCCATTAGGGTCGTATTTCCAGTGCTTGTGTTTCCAGTGCAATCCGACTTGAGCATTGAGTAGAGTTCTAGAATACGACCCTAAGTCTTACTTCATTTCAAGACTTTTTAATATCACTTGTGTGTACACGTGATTATGAATCGCGCAGTCAAAATTTTTGTTTATCATTTAAAGCATAGTAAAATAAGACCAAGAAGGGCAACTTCCGCTTATTCGGCGCATCAATGCCTACACTTCACTCGGAACGTAGGGTTGTCACACAGGGTTGTTACAGGTTGTAAGCGTAATGTGAAAAATAAGGTATTCATCACAGTGCTTATGTGCTTTATTGAAATAACTTTTGTCAAATGAAATACTTACATATTGATTTTAAAATATTTAAAAATGTAAGTTACCAATTGTCGATACCTCATGTACCCTACGCCAACTTTATTTTTTGGTCATTTTTTGTTATTTTTGTCAACAGCCATATTTATTTACTAAATATTATGTTCCCCGAATATTGTGAAAAAGCAAATAAAGAATAAAAACAGAACGGGTCCAAAAATTAAGTTGGCGTAGTTCATTGGAGCTATCGTATCGTTATGTTTAGTAGGTACCGAGAAGAACGACAATTTTGAATTTGAGGTCCTCTTGTTCAATATGAAAAGAACAATAAACTGATCGTCTACTCGATGTCATTTAAACACCGAGCGAACGCCTCAATTTTACATTAATGGCGTGTGCGACGACCCGCGCTATGGAACGCAAATGCACTGCAAGCGCACACATAGCGCCGGTACACGACGTGTACACACAAAGCCGCTCTGCTATTTTGCATGGAGTTACCATACTTGATCTTATTACACTATGTATGCATCATATAGTGACGGGACGAACAAGTCGTGCGCATGTTCTTAGCAGTTGCAGTGTCACTCAGAGCTTTAAGTCATAAAGATCTGAGCGTCCCATGTGCCTGAGGTTTCCCAGCACCTTTACTCTTCAAAAGCGTGTCAATGTTTTCCTGGACGAACTTTTTCAAAAGGAGCTCTACTGAGAAATTCGAAAACGATTCAAAATTTTAATAAGAAGTGGACAGGAACCAGTAAAGGATGGTGGGATGACGACGAAAGAGGTTAGGATAGTCACAAAGGTAAGGTATTTCTACCTCTAGATGTCCTATTACAATGGCGCCCATGCGTGCCCAAGGATCCAGAGACGGTGTCAGGCTCACAGTACGAAGGCGAAGCCGCTAAGTACACCAGCTCCGACTTGCGGGGCTGACGTCCGATGGCTGCGTTTTGTCGCGCTCTAAAAGCAGAAAAAGCTATTTTTAGATGTAAGATTCATGTAACAAGTGAAAGTTAAATACAAAGTTGTGGGTTAAATCAACAAAGACACGATAATTCGGTAACCAAATTGGGTAAGCGCCCGGATTTTAATCCGGAGATTTGTTAAATCGGATTAAAATCTATTAACGCTCAAAATCGAGGGCAAAACTTAAACAACCAAATTGTAAATCGAGTTATGTTCCAATTGAAAAGTTTATTGCTTTCTGATCTAGACGACTCGATTTGCTTTTCTATTGAATCGATTTACTTGAAAATCGCATTGAAATAAATCGATACAAAAAGTTGTTACTACCTACGTATTATAATAGACTTGAATCGTAATGTACATCCTTAATATCGAAATCTTAATATTGAATCCACAGGATTGCAAGGTGGGTATTACGCACTGTTGCCAGATTAGGCGATTTTTCGACGCGAAAGCTACTTCGAGGGGTCTAACAAAAAGTGATCGGCGACTCGACAATATTTAGGCTATGTTTGAAATAGGAAAAGGCGACTTTAAGCTACTTAATAAAGTGTCTGGAGAATTACAAATTTTATTGGGGATTTTGTGGGGAATGGAGTTGTAAAGTAACTCATTTGGGGTTTGAGTCTTTCTACGTTAATTGGGGAAATTAGAAAGTTCATATTCCCCAACATCCAGTAGCAAGCGGAATTGTAGAATTGTTTTTCTGCTTTTATTTTTTATTTTTACGGATTTTATGGTTTGGGCGAATATCGGCAACTTAACACACATAAATTACTCTAAAAAAGATTTTTAACATCGATATTTGTAGTAAGCCAACGATCTTGGCAGAAATGGGTTAAAACCTTGCTTTGGATAAAAACCCGGTAAAAACCTTTGATTGTGTTTTAACCCATCTCTGTTGGTAAATAATAAGTTTGTTATAATTATTAACAACAAAGATGGAACACTTACAAAAAACATTCGATCCCAAAAAAAGATAATAAAAACTATAAACAAAGATCTGCAAGAAGCACATAGAAAAAATCGTAAGGTCTGGTGTTGGTTCGCATGAATGAATTTAAGTGTTCGATGTTTGTTATTAATAAGTATAACAAACTAGTGGAGTAATTTCACAAAAAAAATTAATATCATGGTAGTAAACCATCGTGTCGTAGAATAAAACTTTATAATCTCAGTACAGAAGTACTAAAAAACCGACCTTAAAAATTCGTGGAATTACATGAAAGTGCGCGAAACCGGAAAAAAAATTCACACCCTAGTATGCCATCCTTAGAGGTGGAATATTGTCTTCAAATTTAAATGGGACCAATACTGAGGTACCCTCAAACAAACAAAAGCAGAAAGAAACAAAATTTAATAGATTCACAAATTTTAGAGAGCTATATTTCAAAGGGTAAAAAAAACTAATAAGTTGATTGACACAAAGATCGAACAAATACAAAGAAAAATCCCTTCGACCCGAGTGGACTCGAACCAGCGTCTGTTGCCTCAATGTTGCTACCGCTCTGCCAAGAGAGTGTAAGTGAGTGACATTCCTTGAACAACTTATTAAAAATATTGATCCAATCTTCGACGGGTCAAGTCAAAACGCGGAGCACTCATAAATCGGTTTGCAACAACCGTTAACGTCAGTTTACCAGCGTGAACTCGTTAACACGTGTTTATTTTTAGAGCTAACTTCTCGCTCTAGATCTAGATGGATTGGCAGAAACTAATATTGTAATACGAAATTGGGTTTGTTTATTTGAGATCTACATTCTTTGATTGATAAACTATTCAGCTAATGTTTGGCATATATCATTGCATGTGCTATAGTGTATGCCACACGAGTATGCGACTATTCACACCATTTATAAGACACATTTTTTTCTCAAAAGTGCTTTTATCACATGACTGTGATAAAAATAATGCAAGTAAACACACATACATGTGAAATTTTATAATAGGAGATATTGAATCATAAAAAGTTATTAACTAATTTCATTCATAGAATCTAAAGTTTAAGCACAATACACCTAAGGGTTAAATAAAAGTAAAAACGAAATATTTAAGAATAAAAATTCTAATACATTTTTTATTGAATTGATGCAATTATTGTTTGTGAAATTGCTATTATATATATTAATAATAATATTAATAATTATAACAAACTAGTGGTAGTTTGTTATAATTATTAATACAAATAATGAATACTTAGAAAAAATTCCTTCTTTCATATATTTCTCATAGATGGCGCTACGGGTAAAAAGTCGTTGAAAAAACCAAATACAAAGATCCGACAACAAGCTTATAGAAAAATTGGCGAAGGCCGTTTGTTCGTTCCGTGGTTTATTGGCATAGCGTCAGTTTGCTAGTAAATAATTTTTATATGGGGATATTTCTCTCTAACAACCACCGAGACCTGCCTAAAATTTGGTTTTAACTGAAGCCCTATAGTTATTAAATTCATACTTATCCCAAAATTTGTAAATTGGCCAGCGTTTTAACGACAAGCCGCGCCGCCCATTGCCCCGTCAGTCGCCATCGGGCGCTTGTCGACATCGGATGTGTATAAAATTTTCTACGACTCTTCTAATTTTATTTATATTAATTTACCTTACTTCCTAAAATCTAGGCTCACGTTGAAATACCTCGTCTTAATTTTTTCTCCTGAAAAGTTCTAATTTTGCTGATGTGACCTTATATCTACAACAAGAGTGCAACTTTTATGCTTGAAAAGGTAAAACAGGACGTTCGAAGCTTTTCTTATTACACCAGTTTAGTCTGATCGTTAATAAGTGGTGTAATAAGCTAAACAAAAGAACAGGCCAGTCATATGAATCTTGATCAAAAAGTTTCACAGCAGTCCTGCTTCCTATATAATAACTGCCCCGTGGCCGGACGGTTACAATGTTGGTCAGCCGCGCAGAGGTCCCGGGCTGGGAGAAATATTTGTATGGCCTACATTTATTTCTCTCGTGAGTTTGGGTATAATTTATGGTTGTCCATGGCAACCGCGATGCGAAGGGTTTCGCTAGTTTTCGGGGTTATTGAAAAAAAAAACAGCTGGATCATATGAGGTATAATTAAAAAACATCATGAAATACAGAAAAGTCTGCGAGTATATATTTTTTTTAGATACTAAGTGATGGGACGAACAAACCGTGCGCCTGATGGGGAACGACACGTCTGTTCATAACAGTTGCAGTGCCACTTATAGCTTTAAATCGCAAGTATCTGAGGTGCACTGCCTCTGGGCCCATCACCCTGAGACATAAGTTGAAAAGTCGCATTTGCCTGTAATTTCACCAGCACCCTTAAGTTACCCTTCAAAAACGGAACCGCTTGGCGGCAGAAATAGGTAAGGTGGCAGTACTACCCTGGATGAACTCTTTCATAAGGAATTATATCACAAACTACTATAAACGTATATCAAAAAATTCAAAGAGAACTCACCTACGTATAACCAAATGCGTGTTAGGAGCGTGGGTAGCAGGAGGTGGATGTGGGGCCACCATCTTGGCTTTACTGTACTTGTCTCTTAGAGCTTTTGCGACCGCGTGGAACGGCGGCAGGGCTCGCCAGCACGTTTTCAGAGCGCAAGAGCCCGACACTCCGTGGCATTTGCACTCGCGACGGACTAGGTCTTTCACCATCTGTAGGGAATAAACAATATTTGAATAGGTAAATACCTGTCATTTGACAAAGGAACGAACTTGCCTTGAAATGGGTTGTCCAAGTTTGTTTGTACTCGGCATGGTTGCTTATAATAGACTAGAAGTACGTCGAGACTTGTCATTAGCTCAAATTATTTTTAAACTACTTAGAGGGTAAATTTTTAACCATAGTATACTGGAAAGGTGTCTTTATGCGTGCCGAATGATTACGTAGGGAGGCGACGAAAACGAACAACAGACGAAGTTCTAATAGTTAATAAATTCACATTATAATCCCGAAATTTGTAAATTGTCCAGTCGCTATCGGACGCTTGTGATACCCTGAGCAATACTTGACCAAATGAAAAGACGCGTGATGCGATTGAAGCTTCATACTGGATACTTGTCTTTTAATTTTGTCGAATATTACTTATTTGACAGTAATTGTTTCGGACGGATATCGAACGAAGATCGAAAGTAGGTAGGGAGCAGGGGGTCTGTGTCAAATTTTCTCAGCGTGTTCTTATTTTTAATCGACTTCAAAAACGAAGGAGATTCTCAATTCTATTGTATGTTTTCTTTTCCATGTATGTTACGCGATAACTAACGATATGTGACCCGATTTTGATGATTATTTTTTTTGTTGGAAAGAGGGTACCTCAGTAGGGGCCCTATTTCATAAATTTGAAGAAAATATTCCACCTGTAAGGGTGGCAAACTAGGGGATGAATGACTTTTGAGGTTCGTTTTTTTAGTACTCAGTAACGAGGTTATATTCATATTATAATATAAAAATACAAAATACAAACCACTTCATTATCCCCGCGTCGAATGGACAGCGAAAACAATAATGCAAATTACAAAACCAATAATCGTAAAGAAAAACGCAATTAATATTTTGGTTGGTTCATTTTTAATACGTTCATTGAAAACAGATTATATACGAAGCAGTAGGTTCAATTTATAATTTATAAATCAATGTCATGAAGTAATAACGGTAAATTTAACATTTTTACATGTCTTACATTTTCAGAGCAGAAGAGTACAGTAAGAGTAGTGGAGTCCGAGGATCTGTACCAGGACGAACTGACGATATTTAGTCAAATTAGAGATAATGGCGTGCAACTGAGTAAGCCTACAGTCATCATTGGGTGATAAGAGACTGAAGAAGACAAATTCACACAAGGTTTAGCTACTGAGTATTTTGATAGAAATTATAAAAAACTTAAAAGGTTCATATAGACCAACATATAAAACCATAGTATACTATTATTGTTTGATTTTAATAAATAACTAAGTATATTACGATTTTTGTGTACATCCAAAAGTTTTCTAAACTAGTTACAACCTGTTTGAAGTAGTTCTTTCAAGTTCATCTGTACCTTTATCGAGTTTTGTCGATCGATGTCGCTAACTTCGGCCAATGTGCGAAGCAAAGTGTCGGGGACGTATAGTTTTATGGACGTAAGTTGGTTTGAAACAAACTTAGACTGTACGTTTAAGGGCGGAGTTTCGAAAATATTTCTATTTGATCTTAATAAATATCAGAGGTAAATTACATCTACAAATTGATAAAAACAAATCAATGTACAAAGATCGGAACGAGCCAGTAGACTTACTTATTTTTCTACGTGCTTGTAGTAGATTTTTTTTTAATTTTTTTTATTCCCTGTTCTATGTGTATTCCAGTTACCGACTTGAAATCGGGAATATGAAACAGATATTGAATAAAGATCATACATTTACTACCTAAAGATCAGCACTTAGGATTGGTTATAAAAAAAACCGGGATTTACAAGAGATATCGCTAAAATTTCTAATCTAAAAAGAACCCTCCTCGTTTCGTGTCTGGGGGTCTACTTTCGTACTTCGTCCCATATCTGTTCGAAATAATTACTGTCAAACATCTGTCAAATAAGTAATACCTACTCGACCAAATTAAATAACAGTTCAGGTATTTTTCTTTTAAATGCGGTAGCACCCCCTGGACAGTATCAACGCCCCCAATTGTTTCCGAGACCCCTATCGCCCTCTAGGACTCTTCAGCGCCTACTGGGTGGGTAGGGACAACTTTGGAAAACTATGACCTGTAAATAGATTGCCTACGATGATCCATTAATATACAACCTTTAAATAAATGGATGGAATGAAACTTTACTTACTGTTTATAAATCTAGTCTATCATCATAAACAGGACCTCAAAAAGTCCAAATAAAAATCCAAAATGGCGTCTATTTTTAGGCGCGAAAGGGTGAAATAAAAAGCTAATATGGCGGCTAATAAGATGTTGAGATGTGTTCTCACCGGTCGTGTTAATATCTTTCTTAACTGCACGATCGTGAGTTGAATTATAAGTCGCTGTTATTTATTCAAAAGGGTTCCGTATAGAGTTGTTTTATTACTAATTTATATGTACAAATTATGCAATAGAGACTTTGGGTGCGGCAAAAATAGCTTTTCTAAAATACTAAAGTACTTTGAAGTAAATTTTACCAAAGCTAAAATATAATCTTTAATTTGTTTTGTTTTGTATTTTACACACAGTAAAGTTGATTAATTCTTGAGACACATTTTTCATTTATTATAAATATAAATTTATTTTATCTTTTGTAGGTCTATCTACCTATTTTTTTCTTTTGCTTCTATATTTACACCATGACGTTTGTAACAAATGAATATTTTTAAAACATTGTAAAACAGCAGTCGTTACAACATTACTGTAAATTAAGGAATCCTTGATGACAATAATGTAGAAGTTAGTTAAAACTTGTTGTAAAACCAAACATAGATAATGATGAAAACTTACAAAGTTCTAAATACCCTTACGTGCTTTAAAATAGCATTTAAATAATAGATTAGGTTGTTTATTGCCATTTGCTTAAGTAAAATACGAGAAAAATACGTCTTTAAATATGATTTTAACCGGCTTCAAAAAAAAGATTTGATGATTTTTTTTAAAGAGGGTGCCCTCTTTAAAAAAAAAATCATCAAATCAGTATTAGTCCCAATTTAATTTCAAGTTAATATTCCACCTCTAGATGTGACAAACTAGGGGATGAATCCGGTTACGCGCAACTTCTGTTAACCGATTTCAATAAAACCTGACAAACGGATGTCATTCCAATAAAAAAGCGTATACAATAAATAAATAAAATAAGTCAAGTTTTAAGGTCTTTTTTTTAAATAAAAAGTTATAATTATGTACAGATAGAAATAAGCAATTTTGAAGTTTCCAGCCGCATCCATTTGTAGTCCATTAATGGCCTTGACATTCTCCTCTTGGAGACCCGTATATACTTTACATCCATTTTGTTCATTTTCAAAGTGTACTTCTATAGCTCTAGAGCCCCACCCAGCTGGAGATCAAAGTCTGATAATGAAGAGGGAACTAGAATCCCACAATGACTTACAATCCATTTTACTTAAAGATCTCCAAAAGGTGCGTTCGAAAAAGGAATCACGATCTACCTCCCGCGTTTCGCTCGGGGCGTAATTGTGGCTTCTGAACGCAACCGGCCATTTCGCACAATACTGTAATTGGCCCCTTGGGCACTTCGAGAAATGTCGATTGATCGACATTACGACTTCTACGTGGACATTTCAAAGCGAGAAAAACACATATTAGGAGGTTTCTTATAGCTTCGATCTACAAAGACTTCCTGCGAGGGAAAATTGCTAGGGAAATGTAATGATAAAATACCTGTTTTCAGTATCTATTTTTGTAACCGGCCCTTGTACGACATTATGAGATTCCTTGCGTCTCGTTGCCATGTAAGAATAGTTATACTATCACAATCATTTATTTTTGAAAACACAGGTTGTATAGAAGTTGACATGTAACACAACAAGCATAATAAAAATATATATATATTTTTAATTTTATATATGTTTATTAATTATGTTTTTATAATATATTATAAATATTATAAAAACATAATATTATAAAAATATAGATATGTTTTTTAATTTTAGCTTGAAATTATTTTTATTACTTTTGTATGTTCAATGTTTGAAATTTTTGTATTTTGCATATGAAATAAAGCCGATTTTATTATTTTTTTTTACTTTATGGGTGTGCAATGGTATATTACAATATTCTTGTTAGTATTTTTTATCTGTTATGAGCTAAAGAACTTGTACCGCCGTAGTTTTGTTTATGATATCAAGTGAAGGGACGAACAAGTCGTGCGCCTGGTAGTAAGCGAAACGCCTGTCCGTAACAGTTGCAGTGCCGCTCAGAGCTTTACATCACAAAGACTTGAGGGGCACTGCCACTGTGCCTGTGCTGCGCTCTTTTGAACAGGCAAATCTTGTTCGTCCCTGTCATAAAAAAACAAAATATACCAGTATACCTCACTCACCTTCCTTCCGACCCGGTTATTGTGCAGATTCATGAGACTCCTGGCATCAGCTTCGAGCTCTCTGGCATCCAGGAATCTTCTGGCAAACCTCGCTCCGTACGCTGCTTCACCGCAACCTCCCCAATGGAACTGATCGGGAGATGATGATCTTCTCCTTAAACAAAAAGCGTAAAATTTTACAATGCAAGTCTAACCATGGTAAAAAACCTGAAAAAAAAAAAATTCTGACGGATATGAATGTCCTTGGTCATAATTTCACGGTTGATTAGGTACGCCCCCATATCTTTACTACATAAGTTTTGTTTATAGTGACTCTCTCTATCAACCTCTTCGTTGTGCGGGAAGGTTACTATAAGCTGCGCGAGCACGGCTGCACAGGGACCATCTAAGATAAGTCCTAATCCCAGATCAGCCCATTTGCCTTGAGTGAGTTGCCTCGGGTGCAAGTACAGCACTCTCCCTGTTTTCTAGATAGGTACCGGAGCTGTAGGCATGCTCACTTTCCGTCGCGCTCTGCACAACTAAGGACTCATTCAGAGTGCAGGCGCGGGCGCGGCGGCGGTTGCGGGCGCAAGGGTCTTGGCGTCTTCTCTTTCACAGTGCCGAAGCGGCTACGAGCCGGTAGATCCACACGTCCAAATCGCAAACACACGCTAGACGCTAGACCAAGCACTCTGAAACCCCGCCCGCATCAAGGCAGGGGCCGACGCGCGCGATCACTGTGAACGCGACGAGCGTCAACGTAAATTTGATTTACACGTATCCGCGCCCGCATCCGCGCCCGCCGCCTCTCTGAATAAGGCCTAACGGTTGCCAACGCTGAGCCGTCGACTGTAACTAGAGGTTACACTAGAGGTTATTTATTATACAGCATCTGCGTATTTGGATGACAAAAATCTGTGGTAGTGACCCGTTTAGCTCTTGTAGATAATCTCGATCTCTGGATCGATGATAAATGTGCTTTTACAAAGAGAAACCCCTAGAGTTTCTTGCTCATTCTTCTCAAGGGAATCCGCCTTACGAACGAGCAGTAGAGTTTAATCAATATGACTATTTCGAGTGTAATTTGCTTACCTATGAATCAAAGATTATTTGAGTTTATATGTTGTACTCTTTTAGCTGTTGACATCTTTTCTACAGGCGTCTGTAAGGTTAACGTTTAATGGGTGATTTTAAAATGCAATGGTTTCCGGATACACGGCAGCGCAGTCGTGTAGTATTCTAATTGAAAAAGGGCTACCTTTTTGTGACGTAACTGAAGTTCACACTGAGACTGATCACAATTTTAAAAGTAATACAACTTCTGATATATTAAAGATGTTGCATCGTACGTCTAAGAACGCACTAATCAAAACAGTTCCAGACCACCAGCATCGCATATTGCACGGCAAAGAAAAAGCAACGACTACACTGTCGTGATCGCTGGAGGGTCCAACAACAAGTGAATGGAATTTACATGTGGATGAATGTTTTGGGGCCGTCTTTGGAAATTTGTTTGAAGAAAAATAACAGAAAATATTAGCATTAAAAATATTACAGTTGTTTGTGCTCTATAGTCCACCAGTTGAGGTGTACAATATTATTAAATGTCACAGATTAAAATTAAATTGCATTACAATATGAAAGAAAAAAAAAATTGTTAAATAATATATTATTAATAATGTGGCAGAATATAATAGTTCCTAAGACAGTTTCCTTGTGTCTTGAACAGTTTCGTGTTTTCCCATACTGTCCCATTAAAAAAATACGCTCTGTATATATTGAAGGCTTTGTATTTCTGCTGTCCTAACTAAAACGCTGTTAAGTGTAAAATAATTTTTTGAGATGTCATGAAAAACCATAACCCAGTTTTAGAATATTGATTTTGTTTAATGATATTTCAACTATGCGTCGTTAGGATAAGTTCCGATAAGTCGAACACGTTTTTAAAAGAGAATTTTGTGATCCATTTTTTGCTATTTAAAGTGTACGGGTCAACGTGCATTTAAGTGCAACTGACAATCTGCAACGTTGCACCCTACATTGGGCACGTGCAAAATGTATAAATTATAATTTTCAGTACAACAAAGTTACTCCGTGGTATCCGTCGAGTATTATTCCCACAGCATCTTTGACATGTCTCTGGATCACCTGACATATTACTGTACGAGACAGGCAGCTCGTACAAAGCGGTTATTTGACCATTTGTCACTAGCCGCGGTTTAGTTTGTGGACGGCAGATTTTCACTCGTTGCAATTTGTAATTGGCCACTCGCGACTCAGCTACTTTAATTTCCATTACATTTATCTCCATCGCCGTACACTCTCACCCGTAGGTGTGATAGAACTTCAGTAAGAAGCCCGACTCGAAATCACAAGATCCGGCACACACCAGGAAAACGTCATCAAGCCTCCTTATCGGAAAACATTTACAAGACTGTATAACGGAATATGCTAATCAAATAATGTGATACAAAGGACTAACAAGCTTAAATACTTTAACCGAGAGTTATATTACAGTGTCCAAGTGCTAGTAGCGTACCCCTTTGTAAGGTTTTCCTAGGGCACGATGCTGCCAGCTCATGGATCTACCAGACTAAAGCTTCCCAGTCGGTCCATTATCCTGTTCCATTACTAAGCTTTTTACACGTGCAGCTTGTTGTGGGTAAAGTATCTACAGAAAGCGTATATTGACAGTATAATGACGCTCTCAGAATGCTATTGGGGTTGCCGTGCTACTGTAGCGCTTCGGGAATGTTTACCGAGTGCGCAGAGTGCGCGGTAGCGCCAATGGCCTTCTTCGTACAGTGGCCGACAGGAGTGATGGGCCCGTATTATATTGATCCCCGTACCGTACCCTATGGGTACGGGTGTACGTCAATGTTTAGATGATTCATATTAACATAGTTTGTAAATATTTTTTTACTATATGGATATTTTGTCCGAAATAAAGATTTGAATTGAATTTAATTATTTTTATTAAAATAAAGTATAAATCTAAAATCTGTTTACAAATCGTTACCTGTTTGTAGTGCATCCACAAGCTGGCAGATCGCCGCGAGTGCAGGCTGAGCTTAGCGCGTGTGTGACTCCCGCGGATGTGATCGCGTATGTGAACGCAGCTTCGCGGGTGGCTGAAGGAATTAAGACTAATTATACACAAATATGTAATATGTGTTTTTCATAACAAATGTATGTACCACTTTAGGATCCTCGTTTACTCTATGGATATTTTAGATTTACTGATAAAAAGCTCTATTAAGGTAAGCTGTATGAAGTGATCTTATCATAAGGGTGACTCTTCACTTTGATGTCTTTTTTAATTCCATGTTAGTGTGTTGGGAGTATGTGTGAGAGAAGTGTTTAGTGAAAAAACTAAAATATTTACTGCTACTACTTAATACTAAATACTTACAATAGAATTGTATTTTTTATTTATTTATATATTTGTTGTTATTACTATTTTTAAATCCTTAATTTTTATGACATCCGTGGTCGAGTGTCTTGCTTAGGTACCGGTTTTCATGGTGTCGCCATCTCTGAGGTTCCAGGTTTGATTCCCGGCCGGGACAATGTAGAAAAGCAACTTTTCTATATTATCTGGGGTCTGGGTGTTGTGGTACCGTCGTCGTTGTTTCCGATTTATTTATTTATTTATTTATTTATTTATTTATTTTGGCACAGTTACAAGATACAAATTATATAATACACCTAAAACCATAACACTATAACAAAAACAAACAAATTTATATCTCAATAACAACCGCGCACAACATTGAAATAACATTTAAAATTTATATATGGCTATCTAAGTCTTATAAACAATGATATACTTTAAAAGAAAATATTTCACTCTGTGAGGTGTTCGCGTGATACGGCAAAGTCATGGTTCTTTATAATTTTTACGAATGTGTTAGTGCTCTGGTGGAATACATCGAGATCTTTAGATAAGACATTATACTGTCTGCATAGGCGTATAAGAGGACTATTATATGACACATTATTTGTAGTAGAGGGCACCGAAAACAAATGTTGCCTTCGGCTAGACCTATTAGTAGCCTTCAGTGAAACATGGCTTAAGATATCAGTATCTAATTTTGAATTTACTATTTTATGCAACATCACAAGATCAGCTACTCGCCGTCTCACGCAAAGCGAATCTAGTTGAAATCGGTTAAGCCTATCTTTATACGTTACTAATTTTTTTCTTAATCCCATTTTTGAGGCAAGACTACGAACAAAACGTTTCTGTATCGTCTCTATCCTGTTAATATGATTATCATAAATAGGCGACCATATTATGCTACAGTATTCCAATATACTTCTAACTAAACTTACATACAGAATAATTATACTCCGTGTTTGCTTGAAAGGTTTTGTAACTCGATATAGGAAGCCAATTGTCCGCTTTGCTCTTAAAATCATTGAATCGTAGTGTACTCTAAAGGACAGCTTCGAGTCAAACCAAACACCTAAATCCCGAACCACATTTACACGTTCCAGCTGAACTCCCCGTATCATATATGACGACGGGATGTAATTCTTCTTTTTTGTAAATGTGATAAACTGGCATTTGGCTACGTTAAGGGACATATTGTTATCCGCACACCACCGAGTCAAAGTATCAATATCAGCCTGCAATGCGACACAATCATCAATAGAATGTATTCTACGATAAATTTTTATATCGTCCGCAAAGGCTAGGCATTCACACTTGAACTGACTTAGGAGGTCGTTTATAAAAATCAGAAACAGTAAAGGGCCGAGGTTTGATCCTTGTGGCACGCCGGAATTCGCAATAAACGGAGCTGACTCAAAACCATAAACTGTTACCAGTTGAGTACGATTTTGCAGATATGAATGAAGCCACCTTAACAGCGAACCGTGAATGCCTAAGCGCTCGGCTTTAACACAAAGTATAGTATGGTCGACACGATCAAAAGCTTTGGCGAAATCAGTATAAACTGAATCCACCTGTCCCGATTGATTAAAGGCACAGGCTAAGTAATGCATGTAAGTTAAAAGATTAGTAGTCGTAGATCGGGATTTTACAAATCCATGCTGTTGGGGACTAATAACAGTCTTCAGGTGTGAGTAAATGTGGTCATATACAAGGCTTTCAAAAATTTTAGCAAAGCAATTGAGAATACTTATAGGTCTATAATTAGAAATACACTTTTTGTCTCCTCCTTTATGTACGGGTACGATCTTAGTTAATTTCCACAAATCAGGAAAACAACCATTGCTCAAAGATTTATTGTATAGGATACCCAAGGGCTTAACCAAAACAACAGAACATCTTTTAACAAAAACCGGTGGTATCCCATCAGGGCCAGCGCCTTTTCCAATATCAATTGACTCAAGAGCCGATTTAATAGACCTGTCCATGATGTGAACAGAAGACAATATCAAATTGTTATGTTCAGAGTTTGGTATATAAGTAGATTGATTTGCACACCCATAGACAGAAGAAAAGAATTTTACAAATAAGTTTGCAATATCAGGACCAACTTTAGCAGAATGCTCCTGATAGTACATCTGTCTGGGAATGTCATTGGTTACTTTTTTCGCTTTTGTGTATCGCCAAAAAGCTTTAATGTCTGAAACGATATTTTCCTCCAGCCGTGCTATATATAGGTCAAAACAATGGTCCAATGCATCCCTGCATCTTTTGCGTAGTAATGAAAAAACGTCGAAGTCACGTGGATTTCCATACTTCCTATGCTTATCATGATAACGATCCTTTTCCTTAAACATACCTATCAAACTAGTACTGAACCATGTTGGGTATTTGGACTTCCTGACTTTTCTTTTGGGTGTATTTTTTTCAATTGTTTCCCAGATAATATTATAAAATTTTTGAAGAAAATCATTGCACGATAAATCGCTGAAGTTTTCCCATTCAATTTGGAGTAAATCAGCTGTACAAGCTTCATAATTTGTTTTATGAAACAGGAACCTTGGTGTTGCAAACTCCTTGAGCGTGTGCCTTTTTTGCTGTTTAACAGTCACTTCTAAGCAAGGATGATGTTCGTCTATACGACTAATTTCAGTGCATTTGCTGACAGTACATGACAGATCAGGACTTGCCAGCACCAGATCTAAAATCCGGTTATTGTGATTTGTTACGGAATTAAATTGAAGGAAATCAACACTTGTCATGAATTCATTTAAAGAGGCTGACTTTACATCAGAAAAATGTAGCGGTAATCCCGCCATAGAACCCCCCCAATCTATATCACTCAAATTAAAATCTCCCATAATGAGGTTTTTATCTTCTGAATTTAAGGAGGTTACCATTTCACAATTATTCAAGAAGTCATTCATCATTTCCATAATACAAGTGCTTTAGTTACGTACTTTGGGATCAGAGCAAGTGATATTCTCTAATATGTATAAAAAAAAGTCCGTGGACATGTCTGATAAATACGTATTTAAAATTAAAGATCATAATTTTTTTCTTGTTCCTCCACATAGAAAAAAAATAAATTTCAAATATTTTTAATAATAATGGTTTTACAGAAGTGCTTGACTAAAAATATAATTATGTTTCCGAGTCCATTGTATGAAAGGAATCCTTCAAAGAAATGCAATATTGAATAATCACCCGTAAGTAAATTAACTACTAATAGGAATTGTTGATCTTCACCTTAGAGTACACCTAGTTCGTTTTTACTGATTATTCTTGAAGAAAAAATTGTAAACTCCTTGCACAAATATATTAATAAAGTACTATAGTATCTAAAAGAGGTATAATTTAACTAATGAAAATGCTAACTACAAACATTATTGCGTTTACTACATTTTACACCAAATTTTTATCTTCGTCCTGAAAAGTTACATATAAATCACATACGCGGTATTCACTATAAGACGACTATATAGAAAGTGTCTTAGAAAGGAGAGAGTCCGGAAAAGGAGTAGCAAGTTCTTACAAAAATTGCAGTCTTACAATAACACTTCAATCCCCTTTTTTGATAAACCTCAATTGTAGACTTTTTAGGCCCATACGTGTTTAAGTGGGGTGCACGGTAGGAATATCTGGGCAACTACTGGCGGTTACCTCACCACCGTGATACCATAGTGTAGTAAAAATTTTTATATATTATTTATATATTATATTTTAAATATATATTTTAAATATAGTGTAACAAAAAACTATTAATAAATAGTTTTTTGTTACACTTTATGTAACTAATAAAAGAATTTTTCGATTATATGATTTTGTTTTTTTTTTGTTATATTGATCGATGTATAATAAGAAACCATTTCCTAGATGGGTTTGTAATGATGATTTTGGTTATCAGAGTACAAAGATTTTTTTTAATAAACACCTCGTCTGTGTTGTCGATGTAGCGTAGTGTCTGAGCAATATAATGTCGAAGTAACATATTGTCGGAGTAAGGTAATGTCTGAGTAAAATCATGTCGATGTAACATGTTGTCGGAGTAGCGTAGTGTCTGAGTAAAATAATGTCGAAGTAACATATTGTCGGAGTAACGTAACGTCTGAGTACAATCATGTCGATGTAACATGTTGTCGGAGTAGCGTAGTGTCTGAGTAAAATAATGTCGAAGTAACATATTGTCGGAGTAACGTGACGTCTGAGTACAATCATGTCGATGTAACATGTTGTCGGAGTAGCGTAGTGTCTGAGTAAAATAATGTCGAAGTAACATATTGTCGGAGTAACGTAATGTCTGAGTAAAATCATGTCGATGTAACATGTTGTCGGAGTAGCGTAGTGTCTGGGTAAAATAATGTGGATGTAACATATTGTCGGAGTAACGTAATGTCTGAGTCAAATCAGGTCGATGTAACATATTGTCGGAGTAGCGTAGTGTCTGAGTAAAATAATGTCGAAGTAACATATTGTCGGAGTAACGTAATGTCTGAGGAAATTCATGTCGATGTAACATGTTATCGGAGTAGCGTAGTGTCTGTGTAAAATAATGTCGAAGTAACATATTGTCGGAGTAACGTAATGT